TGCTCAGCACCCCCTCCCCTTTGGAACCTCTTACTCTCTACAGCAGGGGTCTTCAAACTACAGTTGAAGAATTCTGGGAGTTGAAGTCCATGAGTCATAAAAGGGCCAAGTTTGAAGACCCCTGCTCTACAGTAAGATCCGCCCTCAACCTCATATCCTTCTGCAACAGCTTGAAGAAGACCTGGCTCTGCCGACTGGCCTGGGGACCACACGGGGGAATTCTGCGCTGAGGGTGACTGCTAGATTGACGGCAAACTCCACTTCTCCATACTCTCTGCTCTTCACCCACCCATCTTTTTGATGTGTGATATATCAATATACCTAGATGGGCAGCGAATAAATTTAACAAATAAATAATTCTTTATGTTTGCCTTGCCTTAAAAGTCATGGAATCTGGTCTCCCACAAATAGAATAGGCCAGAGGCATTTTTAAGGGACGTAACGTACACAACGTATAGTTGTAAAGTTTAGACTGTTCTAATTGAAGTTAATTCAGAAAGGCTACGAGCCATTAAAAAGGAACAGGGTGTGTTTCTGAATCATTTGAAACTAAATTGCAATGAACATCATCCTACCATTAAATAGTTATAAAACGCAAGAGGGAAAGCCGAGAGTGAGAGAAAAGCAGGTTGATTTACTGCTGCGTTGCAATAGTTTTCTCTCAATCCTTTACGTATACTGACCCAAATGTTTCCTTATAAAAAATACAAAATATGGAGAACTTAGAACCATAAGTGTCATGCATTTATGTATGATTGCATTCTTACTGATGATGCCTTTTTCCCCTTTGTTGTTGATCAAATCTGTTTCAGGTACTCAGTATTTGTTTTCCCCACCAAATCGCTATATTTTCCATGGTGCTGAAGTTTATTCAGACTCTGAAGACGATGTCATCTCCTCCAGCTCTTGTGGAAGTAGCAGCGGTAGTGGGTCATGTCTGAGCCGAAGCTTGGACGTAGAAGAGGAGAGTGAATTGGAAGACTATTACAATGGCATAGAAGAAGAGGAAGAGGAGGCAGACACCCCTGACAGAGAAGAGGAGAATGGATTTGAGGAAGACGGAACGGACCTTCCAGAATCTGTTGATGAATCAATTTCCATAAATCAGACAGTAGAATTTGACAGTTCGTCAGACAAGTTGTAAGATAATTACTGATTTATTTTAGGAACTTTTCCACCAGCATTAGCAATTTGGGCATGTTGGAATGAATCTGTATTGAATTTAGAACAAGGCAAACAACGATGTTTATAAACATTAGAGTAGATTTTCATGCATAGTTTTCCAACTTTTCCAATTGACCTCTATAAAGACACCCTCAACACTAATCTTTATTGCATTTTGAGTTTTAAGTATCTTTTACTGTCACGTCATTTTTATTAATCTGTGTTATATGTGTGCGTATGTGTGTGTGTTCACACGTACACAATATTTTTTGCTTTATAAATTTCACCCTGTGTTACTTTTGAACCATTTAAAAAGCCATCAGAATATTATTATAAAGGGAACAGCTAATCTAGACCAAAGAATGGTATTGTTCATACCTGCTTTGCAACATTTCAATTTATTTAAAGCCTGTTTATGTTTCTCCTTAGTCTGCTGCTGCGAGAATATGTTGTTAAATATGAAGATTTTCCCTAAATACCTATGGCAGCTATGTTTTCTGAACTCTTCATGTTGGGTATATTTGCATGCAATCATATTAGAAGTTAAATAGACATCAGTGAGCACCTGAAAATTCCTTAGATTACCAGAAAATAGCATTTTAAAAAACTTATTTAAATAAATGAAAATGCTATTTTTAAAATAAAGGCTAAAATAAAGCAACTTTCTGTAGAAACATAATAAAGCTTATTGCCTTACAAAATTACAGGAAGAAAGTATTAGGCGAGAAATCATTAACCCTGTTAACATGAATATTTAGTGCAGGAAGTTGGTATATAAAACAATGTATAAAATCTGTGTGTACACTGCCAATATGTGAATATTTAAGTGTTGGAAGGTGTATATATAATGTTCAAGATAATAGATGAAATTTTTGCCCAAGAACAAAAGTGTTTCTATACTTTTCAGTACTTTTATACAAACATTTAATGAGAGCTGCTCTCGCATCCATGACATTCAATTTTACTTTAACTTTAAAGTGTGCTGCATAAAGTCTTCTATTCAGAAAATTTCTTACCACTCCTTGGTAGATTGATGTAGAGAAAAAGCAGCAACTGAAATGAATTCCAGTGCTGCTTAAAAACTGCCTCTTGAGATAGATGTGTCAAATGTTCCAGCTGTAGATTGTCTCAATCCTTTTGTGCTTTGTTTGATCGTAGGTCTTTTAATTTCTTCTTGAAACCACTTTTCAACTGGATCCATAGTTACCCCAGTTGCCCAGAATTCTTTTGCATTTCTTTAATATTCCATTTTGAAATATGTATAGAGCTGTCCTTTTCACACAGTCAGTACATCCAATTTATAACACAGCATAATGAAGTGTTAAAAATGGCATTTTGTGTTAAATCTGAAATGTTGGCATGTTTTCTTGTTGTCCAAGTTATAAATAGAACTTTGAACAATTACACTAAAGAATGCAATATGTTTAGCTTGGCATGCATGTCAAACTGTATTTGTGCTATAGGAGATATTTTAAATGGAAATATTTTGTTTTAAATTATTTTTACAGTGTGGATTATTTTCTGCTTTTATATTGTATATAGTGTCTTTTATGTAACCAACTGGCAGATGTTTTGTAGAAGATTGTTTAAATTGACCTAGCTCTCTTCCTGCAACTTTTGAAATACAAAACCAGTGTTTTATACGCAGTCTGATTTCAATCTATTAAATTGTTAACTTTTGGATGCTGTTACAATGTGTACACAATGTCTTGCATGCAGTGTTACTAAGCATGGAAAATAATATAGTTGGTGAGAAGTAATATACTGCTTCTCCCATTTTGCTCCACTCACTTTTTAAAACAATCTTTCCAGGGCCAGGACCTCTGATGCAATAAAGGCCGGGCCAAAAGCTTTGATCCCCTCAGGATGTGGAAACATCTGGCAAGCAATTTCTGCTAAGGATGGCAGAATTATCATAGCAACTTGGAGGGAATTTGTAGTTATTTGTAGATTGAGTTACTTTTTTTTACATTGAATATACCTCCATGGAATTTATGCCAGTTTTTTTAATCATTACCAGGAATTTAATAGTGCTATGCTACTTTCCTCATTGGTCAGACCCTGGCTTTGGTTCTAAAACACTTGAGCCCGCCATATATTGTGCACATGCTGTTTACCAGTGGTGTGTGTATGGGCTTTCTGTATCTCCAGTGGTTTGCTCCTATCTGATAATGTCATGCACTTAGCTTCAGTAGGTGTACATGGTCTTGATACTAGCAAAACAGGAAATACTAGGATGATGAGAGCAGACAAGTCCTATTGAGGTGAGATACCTCACTCACTGATGGTTTAGGAGGGTATCTGTTGTAGTGGGGGAAGATACAGATTGGGTACTGTATACTTGAGGTGAACTAGTCTGCCACTGATTTGCAAATATTTGCAGGCTGCAGATTCTCTTGATCTTTAGGTAGCTTCGAATACCATTTCTTCCCTTTTTCTACTTCCCTATGGTTACCACCCCTAGGCATTTTTCAGATGCTCTCTACACCCCCACCCCCCCAGAGAAGACCTCAGAATACATAGGCTTTGATCTGAACACACAGCAGATGAAACTAATATATGGACATAAAAGGTCACTGATGGACAAAACGGTTGTTAGTCCTTGTGATATCCTGTAAAGCAGGGGTTCCCAACCCCCAGCTTGCGGATCAATACTGATCCACAACTCGTTAGGAACTGGCCATGCGAGTGAATGTGCATGCATGGGATCTAGGTAGCACACAAAACCATGTCCCCCCCACCCTGTCTGTGGAATTTTTTCCCCCACGTAACTGGTCCCTGGTGCCCAAAAGGTTGGGGACCGCTGCTCTGAAGTCAGAACTTGTACGATCCTTTCCAAAGAGAAACAATTTTGTACTACCTGTTCAGAGTTATTGTTAAATGAAACTTTAATTTTCCACAATTTATTGGTTCTCTTATTAAATGATAGATGCCCCACTCCTTTTGTCTATATCGGGTAGGCAACCTTGGCTCTTTTATGACTCGTGGACTTCAACTCCCAGAATTCCTGAGCCAGCCATGCTGAGGGGAAAGGGAGAGGTTTCCAAGCTGAGCCATGTGGGCTCAGGAATTCTGGGAGTTGAAGTCCACGAGTCATAAAAGAGCCAAGGCTGCCTACCCCTGGTCTATATGCTACACTATTGGTAATGAAACCAAGTTTACCATTTGGGTCCTATAATAGCAAGATTTTAAAAATAACACAAGAAATTTAGCTATAGTCAAATAAACCTGGTTTTATCACACACCAGGCTATCTTGTTTGGGGTTCTTCTGTTGTAAAGCAGGAAGATGAAGAATAAAACATAAATACACATGTTTAACTGTTTATGTCAAGTTTTATAAAAGGATTAGGGGTGACATGATAGCAGTGTTTCAATATCAAAGGGGCTGCCATAAAGAGGAGCTATTGTCCAAAGCATCTGAAGGCAGAACAGGAAACAATGGATGGAAACTAATCAAAGAGAGAACCAACCTAGAACTAAGGAGAAATTAGTGAGAATAATCAACCAGTGGAATGGTTTGCCTTCAGATGCTGTGGGTGCTCCAACACTGGAGGCTTTTAAGAGGAAACTGGACAACAATTTGTCTGAAATGGTATAGGGTCTCCTGTTTGAGCAGAGCGTTGGACTAAAAGACCTTCAAGGTTCTTACTGTTATTCCTTCCAGGCATTTCAAGATAGATACACGTTATTTCAGCGGACCTGAATATATAATTATATCTGACAGGATTCAAATGAATTTGTACACATGCTCATCTTAAAATAATTTAGACCCATGACTTAAGCAAATTTTCTGCACAATGTTAAAAAAATGAGACTTTTACATGTATACATTATCCATTTTCATTCAAATATTTTTATTTTATGCTTGAATTGTTTCACCGCAATTTATAAATCTAAAAAAAATAAATATTTGTTTCACAGCTGAAAGTCACGTACTATTAACATGTAAATATTCAGGAATTTAATTAAACTTGACCCCTCCCCCCAATAACTCCACCTGCTCTGTTCAGTCATCACCTCCAATGACGACCCAAGTCCTTAAAAAACTCTGAACAAAAGTAAATAATTTAACCAAAATTTTAAAGCTACTCCAATAATTACCGTCTTTCCAGTAAGAAAGACAAAATCTTAGTTCTGCCCAAGAGAAAAAAGTAGAATTTGCTGATAATTCTGGACTTATGCCAAACATCCCAGTTTTATTTGGATTACCATGAATCAAATCTCAAATTTTAAGAAAGGTATTTTTCTTTCATAGTTTTAATTAACAAATCACAACTCCATGGACGTGTGAAGGAATTGTCAAAAAAAATGGCACTGACATCCTCTTGATTGCTTTCATTGAAAAAAAAGTTTCAAGATGAAATGGTTGCTATATAAATTTTCCTTGGTATGGTAAATCACTGTCTTTTCACCAAACCCATCTCCAAATGTGGATAAAGTTATTGTACTTGCTTTCTCTTTCTGTTTAACTTTAACGAAGCAGCCTCAGTTCCATAAAGCAATAAATACTCTATGGCTAGAGCTTATTTTATTTTATTTTTTTAAAGTCTTTTAACAAAATTAAAATCATTTGACTTCCAGTGATTTGAAAAGAAAAGCACATCTTTCACACACACAGCAACATTTTTGCAATATGTGAAATACTAAAATTTAGTTATGAAACTTCATAGTGTTTATTCCAACACTGCATTTTTATTGTTAAGATGGCAAAATGCAATTCCACAGTTCGCATCAAGACAATCATTAATAGAAGGATTTTTGGCTCCTGTTGAAAGAATCAGACCACTGAATATAGTTTATGAACAAGCTTATAATCATCACCACTTGGGTATCTCTCATTTACACTGCAAAGCGGATCTAAGCATTGGCTTAATGTTCTCAATTAAATGACTGGATGGTGCCGAGTTTTTACATTATACTAAATTGAAGCCTTCACAGTGATCGATTGCTTGGATCAACTTCGATCTGAGTATTTCCTTATTGGTATATTTTGGAAGATCAAGGAGATTAAAACATGTATGAGATACTGGAAGATATCCATCTCCACCTCCAGTTGGTTGGATAATAAGACTAAGGCTCTTCATTCCAAGTATAGGAATACGATCACTCCCTGTCAAAAACACTAAAAAAGAAGAAAATGGAACAATCTAAGTCAGATATCAAAGGTTTATCGCAGAGTACCATTATGTAAATATACAGAACTACAATGTAAAGAGCTTTTTTTTTAACATACTATGTTAGAGTACTTTGGCTAAACACAGAATTATTTACTTTTGTGGAATCTATATTAATCAGTAAATCTGCAGACAAGCTATTTAAACTTTCAAGAACTTAGTGTTTAGGGAGTGAATTCTATCAGGGTAACCACAGGGAAGATTTTATTATGGTGCCTGCCACCCATCGCCCCAACACTTACAGACCAGATATTCAAAATTCAGTGTCAGATCTAAAATAAGCTAAGAAATACATCTCTCATGTTTTGGCTTTTCCTAAGAGTAAAAAAAGAATGTTGCATTGTTTGTCAATTAAAAGGAATGTTTAACAAAGTTATGTTTAATAAAATGAGAGAATACTGATTCCTAGAAAAAATAGTCTACAGTCTTCAGGAAAAAAAAGTATTTGTTTGAAATATTCACCTTGTATTTTTTTTCCCTTCTTAGCTTTTTAAAAATATATTTACTTATGTTTCCCATAATACATTCTACATTTTATAGAAAACATCGGCTCACATTGTAAGGCAGACCCATATGTACTACCAGCATAATATTGCTGTAAACTTCAGGCTGGTATGTTCTCTTTTCCTCTAGTGCAGGGGTGTCAAACTGCTGGCCCACGGGCCAGTTGCATCACACACAGGCTGCGCTTACTCCAGCTCCAGTAACGCAAAAAAAGTCATGATAAGTCGCGATGTGGCGAGTTTGATATCCGTGCTCTAGTGTGAAGAGGTGAGGAAAAAGCCCTTTCTACCCAAAGTTATCTCCAAGATTCCTGGAATTCTGGTTGATCTGAACTATAGTTTGATGATAAACTCTGATCACTGACCCAGGCTTCTCTGAATAAAACATAAGATAGACCTCAACAATACATAAGCAGACATCCAGTTCTATAGTACGATTACCCACTCTTTACTTCTTCATGACTTGTACCAAGGACTGCTGAGGGGAAAAGAGACTTTCCCGTTCCAAGAGCAGAAATGGTTTTCATTCAAAGAAACCAACTCCATTCATTCAGTTTATACAGCCGCCCATCTCACTTGCATGTGATTTTGGATCGCGTACACAATTAAAAACAAAAACAAAAAAAATCAACCATTAATTAAAAACAGTTAAAAAAGCAAAGTAAGCTTCTGAACAGCTTAGAAGTGGAGCCTCATATTTCTGGGTGGCTCTTGCTTCCATTGGAAAGAAGGAGAGGAAGGATAGATTTAGCATTATATGCAAAACAGGACCCCAGCTAAGTCAAGATGTACCGTATATGCCGGCGTATTAGGCGACCCGGCATATAAGACGACCCCCGTCTTTATCACTGAGCCGCATTCCTAGAACATCGTCTTATATGCCGGAAACTACCAGTATTTCCGGCATATAAGACGACTCGGCGTATAAGACGACCCCTGTCTTTGGCGCCAAGTTTAGCGCTTCCGGAAGTCGTCTTATACGGTATTCATTTTATGAAGATACTTACACAAAAACTGTTTCTTCTTTTCCAGTGGTAACTCATGAAAAACTTCCCAGAACAATTTAATTGTTGGATGTTCTGCCCAATATTCTCCTTTGTACTGAGTATTCTAAGGAGAGAGAGAAAAAATCAATATTAATCATACTATTAAAGAATATTCTCCCTGGGATTCTTTCTTCATTCTCTATTGCAAACGGTAGACTACGCTGACCAGATATTGAAGTGCAGGCTAGGACACTGTAAGGGACTGTGCAATATGCATGCTTAAATAAGCTGTTTAAAAACTATAGCTATAATCTTCCACTAACTTAAGTGATATTTATCATGGGATGTCTGGGGAAACATGCAAAGGACTGCAGCATACATAAATTTTCATTTTCTAAGCCACTATTTGAAAGTTTACCACCAACCATATTATTATTTGGTTTAATAAATAAAGGCTCAATGTCTATAGTGAGGTATTAAATACATTCTTTTCTTTTCGTAACAGATGTTCTCTGTTACCAAAGAGCATAGAGAAGGACAAGAAAATAACCTTGGCAAACAGAAGGCTTAATTCATGAACAGCAGCTGATTTCTGGCAGACCCACATACCTTCTCTAGTTCTTTCCAATCATAGTTTGTGTTCCCAATCACCATTGCTTGCAGTTCATTGGGCTCAAACAGCTGAAGAACTTTACCGCCACACACTTTGTGAAAGCCTTCGTGGAATGCATCATAGAGAGAAGCCACAGATTTATTGAAGATGTAGTCCACGTAGGCATCCACAAACTCTTGCCTAAAATCGGATTACAAAGAAAAGCCCTTTAGAAATACTCAGTACACAATCCATTTAATTATTCTTTTCTTATAACTCATGAATAACAGAGTGAAAGAATCAGGTAGATGGCAGTACGAACATTTCTTCTTCCTTCAACAAAGTATTCCAACTATTCAGTCAGGCAAAGGCTTAATTGAGCCGAGGTGGCGCAGCAGTTAGAGTGCAGTACTGCAGGCCACTTTAGCTGACTGTGTTCAGCAGGTCAGCGGTTCAGATCTCACCGGCTCAAGGTTGACTCAGCCTTCCATCCTTCCGGGGTAGGTAAAATGAGGACCCAGATTGTTGGGGGCAATGTAAATATATATATACATTGCTTACTGGTGTACACCGCTTAGAGAGTGCTTGCACTTAAAGCGGTATACAAGTCTCATAAATAAATAAATAAATAATTCAGTTAAATCATGGATAAAGTTGTGAAACTGCTGCTTCTCCTCCTGACTCTGGAACTTCATTTATGACAGTGTTTCCCAAACTTGACAATTTTAAGGCATGAGGACTTCAACTCCCAGAATTCCAACGCTGGCTGTGGAATTCTGGGAGTTGAAGTCCACATGCCTTAAAATTGTCAAGTTTGGGAAACACTGATTTATGATATACATTAAGTCCAAACCTCCTGTTATGTCTGACTTAAAAGTAGGTTAACTAAACGTAGCACTAGCTTCTTTAATGCTTTCATACACATCACAGATAGAGCACCAAAATTAAGAACAGAAGAAAAACTTGGGTCTGTGCTCATTCCCAGTTTCATTAAGACACAGTTTATGAAACCAGAGAGAGCTATCTGATCATCACGGGTAGGTGGGTGACTTGATTCCTTTTAGTTAATTTTGAATTAAAAGTAGAAAGATGAAATGCTAAATGAAGTACACTATTAAAACCTACCTATTCTGTTTGACAACAGGGATATCGGCGCCATTGGGAATTAGCTCTTTAACTTCGGTGGCACCAAAGTTTTCAACCGTAATCTGTTTAGAAGAGAAACAAGGTATCTTACTGCTTTTGCTGCAGAAGATTTCAACATTGTTTTGTAAGGAGCATCATATCAAATCTTCACTAGAGACAAAAACATACACACACATGTAACATGGCTATACACTGTGGGCACAATGATTAGGTAAGTTGTATTTTGGAGGATTATTGAACAATTACGGTACTCTCGGTCAATCCAAAAATGCTAATAAACCTCAAACCTGAATGTGTAAGAGAGTACAAGTGAGGTTTTTGGCTTTCTTAGGAGAATGCCAACGTGTGCACAATTATTGGGCAACTATTAGTGTGCAGAATTATCATGCGGCGAAAGGAAAAATGAAAATTTGCCCATCTCACTCGTTTATTTGCATCTGTTAAAGTAGGAATAATAAACAAACAACTCAAAGTGTACAAATAAACATTTCTGACATTTCAAACCAAAAGATCAGTGCCCAATGTAGCCACCCTTCTTTTCAATAACAGTCGTAAGCCTTCCATTCGTGGAGTCTGTGTTTCTTGATCTGTTGACGATCAACATTTTGTGCAGCAGCAACCCACAGCCTCCCAGACCCTGTTCAGAGAGGTGTACTGTTTTCCTTCACCTGAAATCTCCCATTTAAGAAGGGCCCACAAGTTCTCAATAGGGTTTAAGTCAGGTGAAGAAGAGAGCCATGTCATTATTCTTTCATCTTTGAGGCCTTTACTGGCTAGCCATGCAGTGGAGTACTTCGAGCATTGTCCTGCATAAAAATCATGCTCTTCTTTGAAAGATGAAGACTTTTTCCTGTACTGCTGCTTGAAGAAAGGTGTCTTCTAAAAACTGGCAGTAGGTTTGGGAGTTGATTTTGAGTCCATATTCAACCTGAAAAGGTCCAACCAGCTCATCTTTATTACTACCAGTCCATACCAGCACTCAACCTCTATCTTGCTGGCGTCTGAGTCAAGTGGAGCTCTGTGCCCGTTAACTGATCCAGCCACGGGCCCATCCATCTGGTCCATCAAGAGTCACTCTCATCATTCCATAGAACCTTTGAAAAATCTGTCTTTAGATATTTCTTGGCCCAGTCCTGCCATTTCAACTAATGTGTCTTGCTCGGTGGTGGTTGGGTTTCAGCCTTCCTTACCTTGGCCATGTCTCTGAGCACTGAACACCTTGTACTTCTGTGCACTCCAGATAGGTTGCAGTTCTGCAAAATGACAGCACTGGAGGACAACAGGTTCTGGTAGCTTCACATTTGATTCTTCTCAAATCTTTGGCAGTCAATGTGTTATCTTTTTCTCTCAACACGTTTCTTGCAAACCTGTTGACTTTAGAATAGAATAGAGCTGGAAGGGACCTTGGAGGTCTTCTAATCCAGCCCCCTGCTCAAGCAGAAGAACCTATACCATCTATACAGGTGAATGTCTAGTCTCTTCTTAAAAATCTCCAGTGATGGAGCGCCCACGATTTCTGGGGGTAAGCTGTTCCACTGATTGACTGTCCTCATTGTCAGGAAGTTTCTCCTTAATTCCAGGTTGCTTCTCTCTTTGATCAGTTTCCAACCATTGTTTCTCGTCCTGCCCTCTGGTGCTTTGGTGAACAACCTGGCTCCCTCTGCCTTGTGGCAGCCCATCAGATACTGGAATACTGCTATTATGTCTCCCCTATTTCTCCTTTTTTCTTTAGACTAGCCAAACTCAAGTCTCGTAGTCATTCTTTGTATGTTTTAGTCTCCAGGCCTTTGATCATCTTAGTTGCTCTTCTCTGATTTTTTTCCAAACTCTCAACATCTTTTTTGTGATATGGTGACCAAAACTGGCTGCAGTATTCCAGGTGTGGTTTTACTAGGGTTTTATAAAGCGGTACTAATATTTCACGTGATCTTAATTCTATGCCTCTGTTAATACAAACCAGGATTGTATTAGCTTCTTTGGTTGCTGCTGCACACTGCTGGCTCAGTCAAGTGATCGTCCACTAGGACTCCAAGGTCCCTCTCACAGTTACTGTCTTTAAGCTAGGTCTGGCCCAATCTGTACTTGTGGCTTTGATTTTTCCTACCCAAATGCTTTTCTTTGCTTTGCTTTTCTTCACATTGAAACTCATTTTGTTGGACAGGGCCCATTGTTCAAGTCTGCCAAGATCCCTCTGAATCCTGAGTTCATCTTTTGGGGTGTTGGCTACTCCTGACAGTTTGGTGTCATCTGCAAATTTGATGAGTTCCCCTTCAATTCCCTCATCCAAGTTTTGCAACAAAACGTTTGATGGTTCTGTGATCACGCCCCCAATATCTTAGCAATTTCGAGAGCACTGCATCTGAAAGACTTTTTAAATTTTTAACTTTTCAGAGTTAAATCTCTCTTTTGGCCCATTTTGCCTGAGGAAAAGAAGCTGCCTAATAATTATGCACACCTTGATATAGGGTGTTGATCTCCTTAGGGCACACCCTCCCTCATTACATAAATACAGGTCACCTGATATGCTTATATCCACTAAGCATTCAAATTACTACAGCTTGGAGGTGAGAAATATGCATGCAAATGTTGATATGGTCAAAATACTCACTTGCCTAATAATTGTGCACACAATGTATTACTTTTATTCTTCTCATCTGTTCCACTACTTCTCTATTAGTATCATTATTATGATTATCCTTTGTTATTGTGTTTTTATTATATATTATGTTATTATGAATATTATTACTTTGCTATTTTGGCATGTACACTGAGAGCTTTTGCACTAGAGACAAATTCCTTGTGTCTAATCACACTTGATCAATAAAAGTATTCTATTTGTAGATTAATATTCATTCCACTTTGAAATGAACTGACACATGTGCTAACAGATAATGCTTACTGTAAAGTTGAGGCAGAAAGTATCTTCCACATCATCTTCTGGATAATCTAGCAATTGTTGCATACTCCTGGAAAATCAAATATTCTAATCTTTCATTTCAGCAACAGCAGAATTTAGTTAGACTCTGCAAACTTGAAAGCTTTTGCTATTTTTCTATCAAAACTGAGAGCAAGGAGGTACATCCACAAAACATTGCAATGCAGAATGGAGCCCCCTCAGTTCAATTATCCAGCATTCATTCTTCTTTGAGAATTTTCAGCTCTTATGGTACCTTTTCTGGTCTCCTCCCAACCCTTCATGCTCCACCCCCCCCCCCAAAATATTTTCTTCTTTTGCAAACTTAGATAGTTCCTCACAAATGCATGCTATTTTGACAATTAGATTAAAATCACTCCATAGGTAAATATTTCATTTACAGTACTACAAGGTCACTACCTATTCTAATTCCAGGCACCATTTAATAGCATGTGCCTAACATTCCGGCATATGGCATAATTTTCCTCAACTACGCAAAAATTCATCTTGACGGCACTATCTTAAGGCAAACCATGTCACATTGCCTATTTTAATTTTGACGGCCTTCATTCCAAAGTTTTAAAGGATATGTTTTTAAATATGTATAAGTAAAATTTCTCATTTTTAAAATGTGTTTATTTTAATTGAGTTGTACTGTAATTCCAAACTAGGGAAAAGCAATGAAAATGCCAGCCAGACTTCGTATTTTCATTCAGGACTTTCTTCTATCTTACAAAGTCTGGCCTCGCCCTTTTTTTCTTCTACCCAGATTTCAGAAAAAATATGAAGCCCAGAAAACAGGCTGGGCCAAGGGGAAGAAATGATCTCAAATCAAAAATTGATAGCACTGACTTCTTAGAATAGCCACCAAATGCTTCTCATCATCCTATTCATGTTGTTAACCAAGAACATTAAATCAAGATTAATTAAACCACAAATGTGTATTAATAATCTAAGCAGAGTAAAGTACGCAACATGTCATCTTGTGATTAACAATACTGAACTTAATTCTTTTCACTAATGCAGTGTTTCCCAAACTTGACAATTTTAAGGCATGTGGACTTCAACTCCCAGAATTCCACAGCCAGCAATGCTGGCTGTGGAATTCTGGGAGTTGAAGTCCACATGCCTTAAAATTGTCAAGTTTGGGAAACACTGCACTAATGAAACAAGCCAAAGCAAAGATAATTTAATTTCTATATTGTAATATCAACCACAACTGTGTTCACCTGCCAACATCAGGCATTAACTCTTTGAGGTCTTCCAGGGAAGGTTTCTTATTCAGAAGCTTCTTATATAAAGCCAATGGAAAGTGAAGTTCTACAATAGTAAAATTATATATTGCTAGTCCGCAAACAACACCAATCAGGTGAAACAAGTCACTGTCTTCAAAGGTCTGTGAACACAAACAAAAAGTAACTCAACAGAAAGCAAAGCAAAATAAGGTTAAGCAACACCGTTCCATAAAGAAATACATATTGTCTAAGTTCTACAAGTAATGTGTGTGTTCAATAAATGTCAAACCTCAAGTAAAATTTGAACCTTTTAGGAAGCCAAAACACTGAAAATTATCTTATCTGTTTCAGACTGGTATCTACATTATTAAAGATTCTTCTAACCAGCTACTTTCCCTCAGAAAAAATAACTATTGTCTACTTTGACAATCTTCCCATATTATATCAATTAAACTGGTATGGGCCACTATGTGGGTAGGAGTCAAATGGCACAACACGAGATAGGTTGAGGGAAGAAGATGGAGTGTGTGCTTTCATATTTGTTCCCCCATATCAGAGGCTAACTTCAAAGAGTAAATGGGATCACCTTCTCCCCCAAAGTATCAAATGAGCAATTTAAAGCTCCCATTGTATCTGGCATCCTTAGAGGTCAACACAACTCTGTACAATTCATCAGTTATGCTGATATAGTCTTGCAACTTCTTATATGCTGTAATATTTTGCAAAGTTTGACACTCGTGTTCTAGATGATGGTCCTTTGCAGCCTACCTGGGAGTAGGAGAAGGGGAGACTAGGGGAGACTTGTGTGGACTATGTAAATTGTTTCTAAGAGCCATATACAATCGACTGGTGTAGTAGGTTAAGTATTGGGAAGACTCAAGTCCATCCTCAACCATGAAAACTCACTAGGTGACTAGGAGCCAACTGTTCTTTCAGCTCAACGTGCCCCAGAGAACTGTTGATTTGCAAAAGAAAATTGGAGGAAAGAAATTTTGCATATGCACTAGTCCAGGGATAGGCAACCTTGGCTCTTTTCTGACTCGTGGACTTCAACTCCCAGAATTCCTGAGCCAGCCATGCTGAGGGGAAAGGGAGAGGTTTCCAAGCTGAGCCATGCTGGCTCAGGAATTCTGAGAGTTGAAGTCTACAAGTCATAAAAGAACCAAGGTTGCCTACTCCTGCACTAGTCTAACATGAGTGAAATAGCTGTGCACTTTTGAGCACAAATTGAGATATTTCAGTCTTTAAAGCTGCTTAAGACAAATGTTTATATGCCTTTTTGCATTCAATCTGGCTGAAGTGTCCATATAATACTCGCTTCTTGATTCTTCTTCAGCTTTAGACATTTTCTGAAGCAGGGCAGATCATAATTGCAAAAAGGACGTTTGCCGCATGGCCCTTCCATTGCAAAATTATCCTTCTAGAAGCTCATCTGGTACCAATTTTTATTCTTTAACTATCTGCTTTTTTTAAAAAAAAGGTCTACTTATTCCACAATTGTTGTAATGAGCAAATTACACTGCTGATGCTATTGCTTTTCATATAACGCCATTGATTGTATATTAATTTTAACGTTGCAAATGGAAAAACAGCATGTTTTCCTAGAATAAAGCAAATCACAGCTTAGAAGTCCTATATCTAAGTACAAAACATAGATCCTGCTCCCTCACCCATTGCAAATGTTCTTCTCCCTAACAAGTGACAAATATCAGACCTCAGCCAGAAAGCACATAATCACATATAGCTGCCGATCTAGAAATGTGGGAAGGTAACCCATCCAAGCTGAAGCACAAAGCCCGATGCAGAAATCCCAGCAGGAAGCACAAGAGAATAATTGATGTGCACTGGTCTAAATAGAATAAAGTATTTTTTTTAACCACACTTAGGATCAGTTTGCAAGGCAAACCAAAATCTATTCACTGCCATCACACTAGCAAAAATACCCCCATCATACCGACTACATACCTTGTCTGAGAACCAGATCAGTCTCGAATTTTCATCGTATCTAAACATTCCATACTTGGGATCTAACAGTTCTCTCATAATAAGTAGGAAAAATTCTTTGCGGACTCCACCTGCATCAACAGCTTCCTCACCTACAAAAATAACCTAACATTGGCAATGAAGTTAGCGTACTAAGATATAAATGTTACATTCAAGTACAGATTCGTTGCACGGATAACAGAATACATATTTTTTTTAAAAGCAAATTTGTCACGGATCTCACATTGCTCTTAATTTTTGATATTCAAATACATTAATGAAGCTTCAGTTTTTTTTAAAATAAATAAATAACAGTGATTGTATTTTTAAATGGCTGGGACTACAGAAATCCTTTATGGGCCAGATGTTTTTCTGCTCAAGAAGTCGGCATCCCAAAATGAGCATTTCCAAGATGAACCTTTAGAAGGGAAAGAGCAGAGGAGGGAGAATCACAATTGTTAAGCTGATGTGTGGATCAAGAATTTAAAATATGCCAACGTGACATACCTTGAGAGGTTTCTTGTAATCTAGATTTTGTGTTTTCCTTAGAACTTCCATGGCATCCCCCACGATATTTTCTCTGCGCACAATTAAGATCAGACATGGATTGACAGATTCAAATACTGGGAGAAAAATAGATGAGAAATTCTGTCTGTGAGCCTGGTCAACAGCCATCTGGGAAAAATCAAGTAAAATCCTTAGGAGAAGCAGTTAGAGTAGTGAACATGGGACAAAGACAGAGTTTACATTTAAGAAAATTCATAAGAAGTTAGTAAAGTTATATTAATGGTGATTTCCAGCATTTGCCTCTTAGAGTGAAGTTTTTCTCCATCTTCTCTCCCCAGATGACAAGCACATTGTTCCTAACAAAGAGATTTCTTGCTGCCTAAAGCTTGCTCTGACCTCATCAGTGCTCAACAATAAGGATGATGTTGTTTGAAAGGCTGTTTGGCAACTGCAGTGACAACACCACAGATTTTGTAAGACAGGGATCTTCAAACCTGGCCCTTTTATGACTTGTGGACTTCAACGCCCAGAATTCCTCAGCTAGGCACACCGGCTGGGAGTTCGTCCACAAATCATAAAAGGGCCAAGTTTGAAGACCCCTGATGTAAGAGAACCCAATCAAAAGCCCAAGCCCAATGACTTAAGTCTCCATCAATGTGACACCCCATTTTTTTTTTCATTAAACTGCAATGTTCAGTGTGATTAAAGGAACACTGTGAGAAAAACCATAGTGGCTGAATTTCATTATCTTATGTTTTATAAATTTAAACTGCACTATATATTGAGGATGTTTCAGTATATTGTATGTTTCTCCAAGCTGGTGGCATGAAGGCAATGATATTGACTTACAAAATACTCTTGTTGTTGAAGATCCTGATTGCGCAGAACAGCTTGGGAATGTTTGGAGTTAGCCTGGTACCCTGGTATACACCTTTTATATCTTACTTTAAAAAAATTACATGGAAACTCAAGTGGTTCAAGCCATGATTGGCAATAGAGCTCAGTGTTAGGGGCCTATCTATTGGCAATTACAAGATATTATGATTGGAATGCAAAATGGTAAACGACATAAATTAATGAATGAAGGAATGAAACTAAATTAAAATGAATGAAGAAATGAATAAAATACCTATGTATTTGTGAAACTAAGATAAACCAGCAAAATAAAACTAAGAGAAAGGGGAAGAATATAAAAGATCTCAATGAAGGTGGACTGTTCTTGTGGAATTCATCTGATAAATCCATATAATATATAAATGAATGGATATAATTGTGAATGGTTTAAAATGTGTAACAGAAGGTACAAACTGGTGTCATTTAAGCTGCTATGAGTACATAAAATTCCAGGAATTTATATGTGAGTGGACGGTAAATGGTCATAATGAAGAACAAGATCAGATGATGTGTGTGTGTGTGTGTGCGCGTGTGTGTGAGAGGGGGGGAGGGAGGGAGGGGGTGGGGGGAAGGGTGGGATTAGCCAGAGTTGGTCCCAGTTGATGCTCATGGGGTTAGGTGGGAGGGATCTAGCCCACAGTCCCTTCTCTACAGTGTCCCTTTGGGCATAACACTCTCCCCATTCTATTTAACATCAACATGGAGCGTTGATATCTAGCTTTACATTTCCAACTCCAGACCGACCAAGTGATTTTTTTTGGGAGATTCTGCCTGAATGTCCAGAGGTCATGCAGGGCTCAATGGGGAGAACAGGTCAATCCTGGCAAAAACTGAGTGGCTGTGAATTTGAGGACTCCCTGGGTCTAAGAGTTTTCCATCCAAGGAATGGAATTAGTGTGCAACTTGTGGTCCTCCTGGACTCAAACAGCAGATGGTAGTCATAACTCAGAAGGCTTTTGCACAACTTTGTGCACCAGCTGCTATGCCCCTTTCTGGACTGGGAAGCACTGCTTTCAGTCACTCATACCTTAGTCACCTCCTGAGTGGATTACTTCAACATACTCTACATGCTTACAATGATATTAGGAAGTATTGCTGGGAATCTGAACAAGCTATAGTTTTAATGTAGATGATCCATGTGGGTAGCTAAGAATCTTAATGATTTGAAGAATACGAGATTGTGCATAGCAATTAGTGGGATTTAAGCTGAAAATTAATGTATCAAAGATCGAGATAATTGTGTTGGATAGGAAAATGAACTGAACAACTGAAGTTGCATATAAATGGCAAACTAGAACATATGAATGCTGATAAAAAATATAGTGGATAGTACGTAATCTGCTGGAAGGAAGGAATGACTGTCAAACATAAAATAGCTCTGTATACAAAACAGAATATTGGGGAACACATAAAAGTAAGTGGAATGTAGCAGAAATTGATTTTTTAAGGAACAAAAAAAGATGGGATCAAGAATGAATGAGTGATGAATTAATGTGGACTTGAGGTTGCTTAGTCAAACAGAGAGAATCCGTTAGGCCTGAACTACAAAGAAATACAAGGAGAAGAAGGAATGAATGTGGTAAGAGTAGAAGGCTCAAAAATCATGAACACAGTTGATGAGATCCTCATAAAGAGTGGTGAAAAGTTTATACAAAAAGGCAGTGTAAAAGCAATTTACAGATTCTGTAGAAATAAAGATATTGCAAGGATGGAAAGACATGGACGGGTATAGTGCCAGTATAAACTAAAGTTATCAATATTTCCCCCCCCCCTTTCCTTAATTTCTTTGGCTTATAATTTCTTACTTTTTTTGGTATAATGTTCCTTATCCCAGAAAGGGAATAAAGTAAATGGTATGCATTTACTTATGTCAATTGAATTAAATAATATTTAGCTCTGATTCTGACTATACTAATGTTCTCTGCCCATTCTTGAAGGTGATGGCTAGAGCAGCCACTCAAGGCCAAGCACCACCCTCAACCAAAACCAGTGCCCAAAGTTTCCCTTTTATAAGAAATAAGATTATAAAGCATTTTTCAAATAATGAAGATGCAGGAAAAGTTACATTCCGTAAAGGCAAAGCACACACTTTTTAGTTAAATTAATCAAGGAATAATCATCCTTGCTCTGCACATCGTTTTAAAAATAGTAAAGCCCATATTAATTTACCTGCATCTGCAGGACTGCATCTGTTTGCAAGAGTGTTGTCTTTGCCTGGGCGTCAAATACGAAGGGATAGGTGCAAATTGTAACTGGTCCATCTGACACCTAAAAAAAAAAAAGGGGGGGGGGAAGAGACTTACTTGAAAATAAATCTGAAAAAACATTGCTTAATTTATGAAATAAAGGTTGGCTACAAGAAGAAGCTAAGTTTAAACGTGTAAGTCAATAGATGCAGTTGAGCAATCTTTATTATTGATATATTAATTATATGCAGTTTCTTCTTTGATAATCCAGATCTGACCAGATAATTTCCAAATGGGTATTATCGGTGTAATCTCAAGATCTATGAATAAAGCCAAAAAGTTAATTTTATTGTGTCTGGTTCCTAAACTGTTACTCTAATAATTAATCACTTACCTCATTTAATCCATGGCTGATATCCTAGTCACAACAAATGCATAAGAGGCAGCAGTAATTAAGAAAAAAAGGTACAGTTAGTTTGGGCATGTAAATTTCCACTTTCTTACAGTGCCAAACCCCAAGAAATAAGTACTTCTGGTCTATTTGTTCTATGCTTACAGGGAATGGAGCTGATGAGACAACAATGAGCAAAGACTAAGATAAGCATTATCACCTCCATGCCAGTCCCCCACCCCACCCTCAAGTATATCACTATGCCACTTCCCAAGGACAACAGGATTGCTGTCCTTGTGAGATTGCTATGCTGGAGTGTCCTTTGATCTTTCTTGGGTTTCTTCTTTGGCCACTCTGGGTTCTTAATACTAAAATTCTAGTTTTTTCACTTCTGAAAGTGCTAAGCATGCAAAAAACCATTAAATGAAAGGATGGGGCAGAGAGACAGGAAGGCATATTCTAATGAGATTGTGTCAGCCAATAAACCAGTTTGCTGCTGAAGAATAAGGATCTCCAGCTTTAAAGTATCAGCCAATTAGAACATTTATTCCCAATATTCTCTCCAATCACCCTGAGAGACTTTGACCAAATAGCACTCTTAACGGGAAAACTAAACTCAGCTTTCCATTTCTTGAGTTATTAACAGAAGGATATTCCTCAATCAATACTTCTATTCCATTTATTCTAAATTGCCTCTTGGCTACTCTCCAAAGCAATTCCAAAATTATTTCAGACTTGAAATACAAAAGAAAAAGAAAAAAGAAAGAGGCATTTCTGATCTAAAAATACAATCATATATAGCGGGATGGCAGTGATGATTTCAGAGCCTGCTTTTGCTGAGCTGAAGAAGTGGAGAAACAACAGATGGCATTGCCTCACTGAAACTGTGAAGTCAAACAAGGATAGCCTACATATCTGAGTAGATCATGGAGAGACTTGAGGGCAGATCCTTAGTAAGATCCTAGCATTTTGATTAAAGTCATTTAATGATGCAAAGGTTTTGCAGTTCCCAAATATTTACTGGTATAAACTAAGAGACCATGTTCTGACCTTGGATATTATCTCAATTAGGGCTTGACAGCTCAAACAAGACATACACCAGAAACTTGAGATAAACATTTCTGAGCAAGAGACACTCACAATCCAGGTAATCTATCACATTTCCAACCCAGATATATCACCCCCCCCCACACACACACACACATTATAAACAGTATAAAAGTACTTTCATATTCAGGTTTGTACCTGACATTTTTTAAATACAAAATGCATGTAACACTAATTAATACCTGCCAAGTTTTCTAATGGACCAGCGAGATGGATTTTCTTAATACAGAAAACAAAGTTAGATATGAAATGTGACGATAAGGAAGTGCCCCAACAAAATTTGTTTTGTTAGTCTGACATTATGGTAGCCTTTTTTAAAAAAGCTACATGCCATTTTCTCCTTCCCCGCCCCACGTAGAAGGGCGAAGGGGAATGTTCTTTACGATTTTTCTATGGATGCTTGCAGGAGGTTCTTTTCTCTGTTCAGAAAGCTCAGTATCAACAAAATCAGAATGTCACTAGTAATCAAATGGAAAATTATCATGAAATTCCAGGAAAGCAGAAATGTGGAAGAAGAGCATCCTAGAAACAGGGGCGTTGAACATAATTTCATCGAGGGCCGCATCAGCATTATGGTTGCCAGATGGACGTGGCTGGGTGATTACAACCAGGTTGCCACTACTAGGTAGCCGTGGCTGGCTGGACATGGCCAGCTCAACATGGCTGGCTTGATGCCTCTCACTTGATGCGGCTGACTCGGTATGGGCAGGTGAGCATGTCTGGGTAGGCCAGTGGTTCTCAACCTGTGGGTCGGGACCCCATTTGGGATCGAACGACCATTTCATGGGGGTCGCCAAACCATGCTGTCCACCATTTTGTTCCCTTTTCCCTAGCTGTCCTACTCCCTCTTATTGGTAGCCACACCCACTTGGGGGTCACCACAACATGGGGAACTGTATTATGGGTTCACAGCATTAGAAAGGTTGAGAACCACTAGGGTAGGCACAGCCAGCCCAGCTCCACTAACTCAGGATGACTGGGTCACAACGGAACAAGTCGCACTGGCTAACTCGACATGGGGACAACTCGGTGCCCCACAAACTTGCCTCCCCAAACTGCCAGCAGCCAACTGTGTGGGCCTGCATGCACACATACATAAGACACCACATTCCAAATTTGGGGGCTTTTATCCACAGAGGAAGAAGAGGTCCATCTCCCCAAGCCATTATGATTGGCAGCTTGCCAGCTCAGATGTGGATAAAAGTCTCCAAGCTTGGACTGGTGTATGTGTGCGTGCAGCACCCCAAAGTTCTTGGTTGAATTACAAAGATCTCTGGAGAGAAGAAGGGGTGATGGGGAGCTGCGTGAAGGAAGTCTGCCCCAACAAGCCAGTATCCTTTTCGAGAAGGGCCCACTTCCCTCGTGCAGGATCGGGCAGCGCTGCTCCCCTGCCTCCTCTTCTTGCTCTCCAGAGATCTGTCAAGGCAAAGTTTGATTCTGTGCTTCCATGTGTAGCAGCGTCGCCCTCTGCCTCCTACTTTGCCCAGAGGGGACACCGGACAGGGAAACGGCAATGCTCAGTTGTTTGGGACTGGGAGAATAATGTTTCTGTGCATGTACGCACACACCATTCCAAGTTTGGTGACTTTTATCCACATCTGAGCTGGCAAGCTGCCAATCATGCCTGGGCTTGGGGAGAAGGACCTTTCCTTCCTCTGTGGATAAAATTCCCCAAATTTGGAATGCAGTGTGTGCGTGCGTGTGCACAGGCTTGGCTGCCGGCAGTTTGGGGAGGCGAGGAGCTTGTGGGGCACCAAGTTGTCCCCATGTCAAGTTAGATCAGTGGTCCTCAACCTTTTTAATGCTGTGACCCCCCCCAACCGGTCGTAAGTCGAGGACTACCCAACAGTTGTAAGTCGAGGACTACTCAACTGGTGCAGCACCGTTTGCAGAATGGGACTTTTGGCGGGCTCAGCAGGGCAGAGACAGCCTGGACAATTCCTATTGGCTTTTGAAAGCCAATAGAATTAGACTCTATTCAAGAGAGTCTATTCTATTGGCTTTCAAAAGCCAATAGAATAAAAGGGAGTAGCACAGCTAAGGAAAAGGGGGAAAAAATGGAGGACTGCGTTGTTTGGCGACCCCCGTGAAATGGTCGTTCGACCCCAAATGGGGTCCCGACCCACCGGTTGAAAACCACTGAGTTAGATGGTGCAACTTGTTCCGTGTGGCTCAAGCTGTCCTGGGGCCGGGCCGGCTGCCACCTTCCTGGCCACACCTACCCAGCCACGCCCACCTGGCTGCTCTGACCCATACCAGTTCCAGGCGTTGGAGAGGCTCCCGTTGCACTCCCCGCTAGTGCTACTGCCATTGACAAGACACCTAAAGAAGTGAAGAGGTAACTACTCAAGCACCTCCTCCTCCTAGCCTGCTTGCGGGCCATATCTAAAGAAATCACAGGCTGGATCTGGCCCACGGGCCTTGAGATTGACATATCTGTCCTAAAAGAATGCAAACTATTTCTGTGCTGCTGCTGCTGCTGCTGGTGGTATTTTCCTAATTACAACTTAATTCAAGGACATCTTTCACTTTTTAAACCCAGACTAAAAGGGCTTTTAAAAATTTACTTAATTGGCTACTATCTTCTGCAATGCACCTCAAACACTTTAAATAGTTCAAAGGGGCTCACCGAACACAATCTTACTTTGCAATTGCAAGTGGCTGAACAAGTTCAGCTTTTGCACCTTATCCTTCTCACTGCAGTTTATGTCACTTTCTTTACCGTTCTGCCTAAACTCAGCACCGCCTACTTGACACAGACAGTTCCCGTTTAATGACCACTTAGTCTGCTTGAAAGTAGATGGCAATGAAGAAAGGAGACTTTCAGCCAGTCTCACAGTTGCGGCTGTTGTGACATTCTCATAATTACGATGCTGATTTAGGCGCTGGGCAACCAGCTCCCAACTACAATATTGCAGCATCCCGCGGTTGCCATTTGCCACCTTCATTGACAGATTCCAACAAGCAAAATCAATGGGGAAGCCAGCAGAAGACTACAAATGGTGATCATGGGACATTATGACTGGGTGCTTAACAATGGCAACGGAAACTGCTAGAACTCCTGTCTTAAGTTGGCACAATAACATGACATTGTGCTTCACCACCATGTTGTTTAATGGCACAGTTCCCAGTCCCAATTATCACAGGCAGCAAGGATTTCCTGTAGCTATTTTAAAAGCATCTATCAGCTTCTCCAATGCTGATAAAGACATATAGACATATGACGTATAGATATTATGTCAGGTAACAGAAATAACAGAAAAACTGAGAACCAGTCTAAATAGAATCAGTCTAAATATCCCAGAACCAGTCTAAATAGAACCAGTCTAAATATCCCAACATAAATCTATTTTAGACATATTTTATCAGAGGAAAAATCCCTACTAGAAAACCACAGCCAGAAAATGACACACATTTCTCACCACAGCCTAATTTTGTATGGGCAAAATCATGCAACATGCTCAGTAAAGGTTGGAAATAATAAAAATGAAGAACTGCACTATCTACAATTCACCGTCATGTGACATACTTTAAAGATACACTGGGAGGGTGGACGCGGCCTGGGGGGAATAGGCAGGCGGTACCAATGGTTATGAATTTATTTTATCTTGTGAATTGTATTTTGTATGAATAAATGGAAAATAAAAAAAAATATTAAAAAAAATAATACACACACTGGGAGCAAAAATTAAGACATTTACCATTCCATATGCCTGCTGCTGGATCCAGCTGAAGTAGTCATTTCTTATATCAATCAAATCCTGTATTTCATGTATGTAGAATTTATCATACTGTATTATCTGCCCACCTCTTTCATTCACCTAAGTTTAAAAAACACAAGAGAACCTGTCACTAAAAGTATTTCATATTTCCCTTCTAAACCACCTGAAATGTACGTTTCTAGATGAAATGTTAGCTATCTTTATAAATAAGAACAGAAAAACTAGAAAATATTTATTTTCATATATAAACAACGTCCCTTTCCCATGGTATAACAACATTAAACTACTTCTGACCAATAAAATGATTGAGAAGAATTTAACTGTTGCTAATTTTCTGTAGGCAGTTATAGCAAAATATCACAATAATTTTTAGAACTTTATTATCACCAGAAGCCGTACCACATAATAATGATTGCCGTACAGCACTTTCAATACTTTTATCTATCTCAATCACAGACAGCCTCCGCTATTCATTCTTAATAGAATTTTGGAGATCTATTTAAACAATAGTATTAAAAAGGAAATGGGAAATAAGATGATTTCTTTTCAATAAATATAACAGGGATTTTAAATTTTTTGTCATACAGTGGTACCTCGGTATTTGACTGCTTCAAAACTCATTGAATTTGGTACTCAATGCATTTTGATGTGAAAATGTTGTCCCCGTACTTGATTGTTTGGAACTTCACGCATGGTGATAGGAAAAGGGGGATGGTCATGGGGAACGGACAGGAAGTCAGCCATGCTATAAAGGTTGCTGCAAAAGGAAGAATGGGACAGCCACAGAGGGTGGGCAGGAAGTCAGTCATGCTGGGAAGGTCGGTGACATAGGAAAAAGGACAAACAGGAAGTTCTTCCTGGCCAAAGGTCACATGGTAAGTCACATGATTTGTTTGGTACTCATTGTTTTTCATGCCTCTTGGAACCAATTAACGCTAAGTACCAAAGTAGCACTGTAATGATGGGTATATATTTTTTTTTTGTTAGATCAGAGAAAACTGGTTAAAGAATGCAACTGTGGTAAAATTCTGTTTGAATTTTTGAAATAGTAAGTGGCATTGTGTAGTGCAGGGGTCTTCAAACTTGGCCCTTTTATGACTTGTGGACTTCAACTCCCAGAATTCCTCAGCCTGCATGCCTAGCTGAGGAATTCTGGGAGGTGAAGTCCACAAGTCATAAAAGAGCCAAGTTTGAAGACCCCTGATGTAGTGGATTTAAAAAGTGGTACTGTATTCACTAATTTGAATTGATATCAAAATTAAATGTTTGCAAGTGTGATCAGAACTGTACCCTGACCACTTCAACTTTGGCTTGGCATATTGTAGCAAAATAAAGGATGTGGGTTTTTGTTTTTTGTAAAATGGGTTTAAATATTAATTTCTACTGGTAAAATTGATATTAATTCGTTTGCTTAGATTTACAGTTCAGATGCTTTATTAAATTAAAGCATTTCTCTTCACTAGAAGATAATGTTCCCTCCAATGACTATTACAGTTGCCAAACAAATTCCAATTGTCTACAAAATAAGAAGGCGCTCTGAAAGATCTTAGACCTATAAATTAATATTTGTATCAATTATACTGAAGATAGATATAGTCTGAACCTTAACTTGCAAATAAGAATACAGATTTCCAAGACGTACCCTATGTAATATTTCCAAAACTTTGAGTGAAGCATGTAGGCAGCTTGCAAAGATTCTTTGCTCTGAAGCAGGGATACCCAACTTGTACAGCTTCAGAAGATGGACTACAACATCTTTGTAAAGTTCCACTATTCTGAGGAACAATGGAGGTTCCAATACAGACCACCAGTTTTCTACAGACAGGTGAGAAGGTGGCAGTTACTCTATGAGACTGAAGCATTCTACAGCTTGTTGAATTAGTTTTTATTTAACATTCTCTATGACCTCATTTCACCAACTCTACATCAAACAGAACATCCATTTGCTATATATTGTAACTAAAAACTTTTCAGTTGCTTCTGAATCATGAAAAACCTCTGCGGTATACTGAGATATAAAACAAGCAAACATGCTAAACCAATTAAAACAGGAGACAACCCATGTTTAAAAACAGTGAGCAGAAATAATAGAGTGTCTAAAATTACAGGGAGAAACTGACAGCTTCAAAAATGAAAGAATCAACAGCAGCTCCCTAGAAATTTCTCAGTTGAGTTTCTTAGAAAAAAGTTCCTGTCAAGGCAGTGGTTCTCAACCTTTCTAATGCCGCGACCCCATAATACAGTTCCCCATGTTGTGGTGACCCCCAACCACTTATACATCACCGGGTGCCAGGGGCGTGGCCAAAGAAAAGGGGGGAAAAATGGCGGACAGCCTTGTTTGGTGACCCCCGTGAAATGGTCGTTCGACCCCAAATGGGGTCCCGACCCACAGGTTGAGAACCACTGTGTCAAGGTTTCAGGATCAGCAAAACAAAACTTTGAGGAGGCTCATATCACACAGAAGACAGTGTTTAAGCATCTTTGGCTTATGTCTTATGTCAGTGCAGTTGTTACAGGATCAGTATGTTTGCTTAGCAAAGCAGACTTTCATTGGCAGTTGCCATTTCCAAACACTCTTCTGCACCAGCCACAAATGTATTACAAGATGTTCATATCAATATATAAACCATTAAAATACTTATGACAAGTATTTAAAAGGCTAGCTCCTTCAGTACCTCCAGCCATGTGTGATGTAACAGTAACAGTAGTAATAATCATTTATTAAATGTATATACTGCCTGATTTGCAGAGATTCTGCAGTTGTTAAAATATTTAAAAACAAAGTGCAACACAAAAACAGCACACAACAAAAGAACAATAACAGCAAACAAATTAAACCCACTGTGTGAATGGCTCAAAGTATTGCAACTTGAGATAGACTCTCTTGGATCATGATACCCCAGTTGTGGATTTCTTTCTAGAATAAAAAGATACACTTGGCCTACACTATTCAGTTTTAGACAACAATCAAAATTGTTAAAACCAATTTGAAAACTGATGAGACCAAAATGTTCTCTAAATTGATGCGGCATTGCTGTTTTGATTTGTAGTTTGGCAGCATTTTAATCCTCCTGATCTCCTTTTTTGAGAAATGGCACTCTATAAACAAATCATGGTTCTTGTGATTAAGAAAATAAGAATATAATTAACTCATTAATTAACTCATGCAGTGCTGTGCATTACTTGTTGGTCAAAGGCAAGAGTAGTGGCAGAAAAGTTTGGATCTTCCAAAAAGCAATAATAGATACTGAAAGGACTTTCAAAATCTGATCTTAACCCTTTGGTCAAAACACAATGTTACCTGAAACAAATTGTACTTCCGCTGCCAGATTGGCTTATTAGATTCCTACGATTCTCTTATCTAAGAAGTTGCTAGTCTACATGGTATCTATTATTATGTCTAAACATTATGTAGAGAACTAGCTGAAAAACAGAACGCTGGATATTGTCTGCACCATACTTAAAAATATATGGAATAAAAGTGATCCTTAGGAACACAACGGTTAATAAAATCCCCCTACATTAACTCTTGCGAGTGCTCAACAAACCAAACTAGCACCAAGGCTAGAGTGCTCAAAATCCTGTAACGAACATAGAATCATAGCGCTGGAAGGGACCTCAAGAGATCTTCTAGTCCAGTGTTTCTCAACCTTGACAATTTTAAGGCATGTGGACTTCAACTCCCAGAATTGGGAGTTGAAGTCCACATGCCTTAAAATTGTCAAGGTTGAGAAACACTGTTCTAGTCCAATCCCCTGTTCAAAGCCGAAACCTTCTAACATGCCAGTCAAATGGTTGTCCAATCTGTTTTGGAAACAACTAGCCTGACACTAAATGTTTTTTAAAAACTCAGTCTGTATGATTACCTGCTCAGTTTCTTCCTCGGAAGGGCTAAACTTAATATCATAGTTTACAGGGCTATCGGTTCATTTTTTTTTACCAAAACCATAACAGCGTCAAACCAGAACCAAAAGAAAAAAATACAGCTAACTAAACAGGGAGTACAGAATGAAGTGGAAGGGCTTTAGCAATTTGCCCCTAGTATACTTTCAATTAGGAACCACTCTGTCTTGAATCTTCTACCATTTTCTACCATTGGGAGATCACAATGCCACTAAAAAGGCAAAATGTAAACCCTCCTCTTCCATCTCTTGCCATCTGACCAGATTTTTTTTTTTTTAAATCAGAATGAATGATTAAACTTTGTTAAGCTTTTCACAAGAATGGCTTTAAAACTTCATCACTGAGACAACGTCTTGTTCAAACCATATTAAAATGAAATTTCCCCAATACTTAATGGACAAGGAGGATATCGTAATGATTGAAAATGTCACTGACAGAATGCATCACTGGGTCTTCTTCTGAATCTATCTAGTTCTTAATATATGCCCTTCACTAACAACTATTCTTAACAATGTGGTCCAACTTCATATGGGAAACCCAAAAATAAATTCTGTTTTACACAGTTTTATCACTAATAATAACCACAGGGTTTGTTACTTATATATCAGATGTATGAAAGTAAACTTATAACAACTCTTCAATAGTTTAAGAATAAAAAAACAACCGCAACCCAAGTACTGCAGAATATACACACCTACTTGAGCTTTGCAATGTACTCATTCTTTGCAGCAGGGTACCTACCACCTACAGTACATATTTATAATTGACATTAAACAAACCAACCTTACCAAGTACTTTCAATGGAGCCTTTTCTAGATTCACGATAGCCGTTGCAAATGGAATAGCCAAAGTCATGTAATTGTTTGATTCGTTCATCAAGGGGCATTCTGGCAGGGTTAGAAATAGTCTTAATGCTTCCACATCAGGCAAGGAGCTGGTCAGCTTAGGAATAAGATTCTTCTCCAAGCTGGCTGCCACCTGGGGACATAGCGCAAGACAGAATCTAGTTTTAAAATTAAAAGTTCTGGGAGAATAAGCCAGTAAGAATAATACAAAGAGATTGCACATTATTCGTCGTGCAATCTTAAAAAAATCATTTTTAAAAGCAAAGTACGTATTTTTAAATAAAGCTAGCATAATTGTGCCATTTATTTCTGTTCCAAATGATACTAAACGGGGCTAGAAATCAGGAGATTCTAGTCCCACTTTAGGCATGAAAAAGAAACGATGGGCTAGTCCAGGGATCTTCAAACTTGGCCCTTTCATGACTTGTGGACTTCAACTCCAGAATTCCTCAGCCAGCTGAGGAATTCTGGGAGTTGAAGTCCACAAGTTATAAAAGGGCCAGGTTTGAAGACCCTTGGGCTAGTCACTCCCTCTCAGCCCAATTCACCTCACAAGATTGTTGTTGTGGGGAAAAGAGGTGGAGGAGGAAGATATTTTCACTGCCTTATTTTGAAAATAATAAAGGCGGGATAAAAATTTTTTAAAAAGGCAAGACAGTATCATTGTCAGAGCAATCGAAGCTCTGTCTGGTTTTGCATGTTGCTTTGTTGAGGCCACCTTCTTACCTTTTTTTAATCGTACTCCATGGACATCCCTGCTACCAAAAATGTATTTGTTACATCTAAACATAAAACTAAAAATTACACATTTGAAGAAAATTGTATTTTGCTTCACCTTTTATTTGTTTGCTGCTCTCTATCCACCCACCTGCTTTGCAAATTCTTTACTCTTATTCCCGAGGACTTTGCAGGAGCTAATAGCAAATAAGGCTTCACTTTGTCAAAATGGGACAAGGAACACCCATTCATAATTTGTTACACAAGCCTGAATAAAAAGTACAAACAAACCAAATTTCTACTACATTATTTATCATTCCATTTTGCTGTGTAAAGCCATCTTGATGAAATTCACACATTTGGTCAATTTAGAAATAAAAAAGTTAATTAAAATAGATTCACAATTCAAATTCCCCCCCCCCCCCGTGCACGGCACAATAAAAAGAATACGGTGCAGATGATAACACAGAGTAGCATGCAACAGAATCGAAATGAACTTGAAAATTTTTAGGCCAACCTGCTGAGATATGTGTGGGTGTTCTGGCTGTACAAGTTTGTGAAATAAAAGCCTAGCAGCATTCATATCCACCCCTGAGAATCTGGCACTCGTTTTGTAGTGATCATCGTTGCTACAGAAAAGAAGAAAGTTAAATGTTACTTTGTACACATTTGTTATATTTTAAATAAACAAATGTTAAGGATTTCATTCAATTGTGTATTTATTATCCACTGACCTGACAGCTAAAAAGCTTCCATTTAGGCAGCCAGCAGAAGAAAACATTCCATCTATTTCACTATTAGCAAAAAAAAAAAAAAAAGGGGGGGGGGGAAGAAAAAATATACAAAGCCATTAGCAAGTGGGACTAATGCACCCTTTTCTTCTTTTTTTTTTTTGTGTTCCCATCTAGGTTTGTTGTATCTGCCATTTTAGTTTCTTTTTTGTGTGTGTTTTTAAATGTGTTTATCAATTTGTAAAAAGCCAGTAAGTCAATTCTACATTTAATAAATTATCTCAGGTAGTCCTTGATTTATGAACGATTGCTTAGCAACCATTCGAAATTCTGAGGGACCGACCTGGGAGGGTATTTCTGATCCATATTCAATGTTCAGATGGTCCTTCCCCCCCCCCCCGGCACGTGATTTGTGGCATTAATACTCCCGTTTTCTTTCTAAAGCAGGGGTTTAGAATGCCTGGCTGAGGAATTCTGGGAGCTGAAATCCACAAGTCATAAAAGGGCCAAGTTTGAAGACCCCTGTTCTAAACAATGAAATCACCAATGTCACCAATTTTTGCATCTCCTGGGTTAGTGACACTCAAATAAACTGCCTTGAGGAGTACATTTAGGAATTCAGTTCCAGAGTTTTTATTTTATGGCTCCAGATGATGAGGTAAGATAGAACTGATTATGTAATATGTAAAGTTGCCATATTACATAATCAGGAAAGACTGGTTTATAGGATTGATCTAATATAGAAATAATTCGTACTTTGCTATCTCCACAGGGAGTCTCCCTGCACCTGAAGACGAATAGTTGATTAATCTCTGAATGAAAGCTTCGTTCACAGTCCAGATTTGTTTTGAAGCATTCGGATATCTGAAGTCATCTGCTGGTATCAAATCCTGCATTTAAGTGGTACCACAAGAAATTGTTTCACAAACTTCAAACCCCCAGGCTCAGAGCTGAAATAATTCATTTATTGTCTTATTTATACCTGCATTAAAGCCACCCATATTTTATCACACAATGCTAAATAATAAAATCATTGATTAATAGCATGAAAACAATTAACAGTAATGAGCAACGATCAAACCATGCACAATCCCTTTTGTTAAGTTGTTCTATTACAATCTTTATAATAAGTTTTTTATAACTTGTCATATTATTATTTTTAAGCCACCATTCTTGGCTACATTTCATTTCTTAAAATTGTTTTAAAAGTAAAACATAGACTACTATCTGCTTCTGTTCAATTCAGGCAGGCTGACTTGTTCAAACATGAAACTGGTAGTGCCAAATTAATCCATCAAGCTTGAAAGCAAAATTATTATGTAATAATTACACAATAATAATTCAAATCCAAATTATCTTACATTGGAAACATTATGACACAGTTCTCTAAAGCAGTGTTTCCCAAACTTGACAATTTTAAGGCATGTGGACTTCAACTCCCAGAATTCCACAGCCAGCGTTGCTGGCTGTGGAATTCTGGGAGTTGAAGTCCTCATGCCTTAAAATTGTCAAGTTTGGGAAACACTGCTCTAAAGAAAGCTCTAATGCTGGGAAAGGTGGGAGAGAAGAGGAGGATGACCAGTAGCAAGATGGATGGAATCAGTGGTGAAGGTCCATCTTAAGGACCAAACTGGGGCAGATCATCAAGAAGAAAATCTACCTTGATGGTCATCAGGAGTCAAAAACAGCTTGATGGCACATAATCAAATTCAATAATTACACAGCTACTAAGCAACTGTTTCTATTATCAAATTTAGGCATTATATTTAGTGAAACACAAGCAAGCTTATCAATCAAAATAAATAACATACCTGTGGAGTAACATAATGTGAAAAGCTTTGGTCTCCACCAGAAAAAATCCTCTTTACACAATAATAATCTTCACCATCTATAATTAAAATAAGAATATCTTCAATGGACTAGCTACTTTAGTTACTTAAAAGTGAAATTAATTTAAGAAATGTAACTACTGTAATTCTGACACATTCGCTAACTCAACAGATACTTCAGTTAACATGTTTTATTCCAGGGCTTAACAACAAGAACAGTTTCTATTTTGTATTGTATTTACAATTATTTTTTTTTAATAATCTTATAGAATAAATTGGTGCTGGCAGTTTCCTAAGAACTGAATTTTCCTTGTTTAGAAATGATTTAAAAATTGTATTGCAATGTATTGTTACTACTCGTATGCTTAATAAATATCTTTTCATGAGATATAAATTATACTACCAAGAACTAAATTTATCACAATGGTATGAAGTCATGGTCTAATCAGATTTGTTCACTAAACTGGCTGAGTGTGCACAACATGCAAAGCATAAACCATGGCTTACGGAAAATGAAAAAGATTACATCAACAACTGAACCATATGATACTGTAGAATAATGCATGAACCCAGTCAGTATCTCCAACAGTACTTCAGCCCAATAACACTTCAGACAAATAAAGAATAGATATAATCACCTGAATTCAGTGGAATTTGGCCATTATATGGAAGCCAATTTCCTTTAACTGGAAAGGGACTTTTCCTATTACTGGTTGTTCCCATGCCTAACTGTCCATTCCCTCCAAGACCGAAAGAGTAAATTCTTCCAGTCGAGGGAACAAATGCAGATGTGTGCTGCCTGCAACAAAGAGGAAAGAAACATCTAGGAAGTGAGAAATGAGGAAATTCCAGACTCTACTCTAAAATGACATTCCAAATATAAATTATTTATTTATTGCAGCTTAGCTAACCTGAGTCCCCAGTTTCAAGTATTACAGATAGTCGATCTATGACAATTGAGCCCAAAATTTCTGTTGTTAAATGAGACATTTGTTTGACTTTTTGCGACCTTTCTTGTCACATTTGTTAAGTTGTTGTTAACTGCAGTTGTTAAGTCGGTAACACAGTTGTTAAGTGAATCTGATTTCCCCAGACTTTCTTTGTCAGGTTACAGAAGATGATCACATGGCCCTGGGACAGTGCAACCGTCAGATGCCAAGCGTCTGAATTTTTATCACATGACCCTGAGGATGTTGCAATGGTTATAAGTGTGAAAAACGATTATAAGTTACTTTTTTCAATGCCGCTGTAACTTTGAACGGTCATTAAATGAACTGATGTAAGTCAAGGAGCACCTATCTTGAGTCTGGCTAAGCCATATATTGATTTTTTTGTTTTTTAGTGAAAGAAAAAAATAACAGGTTTGGAAACCACAAGGAATACGTTTTCCTATCGCATGAAACCCAAAACAACAGAGCTCCTCATGATTTAATGTTGGGAACAAAATAAGGAAGCAATAGAATAGAAGCACTTGTCTTGAAAGAAAAGACGCAGGGCTGAGGAGATCACTTCTATTATTTTATCTTCAGAATCCACTGTCTCAGAAAGCAGAAGCTTTAAAAATGTTTGGACACTCTCTCTCTCCTCTACCTTTACACTTACAGAATGAAACCATACCTCAAATTAATTCAGGTTAATTGCAATATCCCATAAGAACATCAACAAGGAATGATATAGCCCAAAAAAGAACAAAGCTTGCAATCCAGTGAATAGAAGCTTATTATGCCAATGGAACAACATTGTGCTAAGGCAATTAACTCATCCCTTGGGTCTTATGAATTATTATATTGTCTAAATCATAGCAGCATTTTCTCTGTAACAGCACATTGCTGGAACCCCCAGCAAGGTTTCACAGTAAGAGTAAGTCGTTATTAATTTATTATGCCTGTTAGAAGAGTGCTTCAAAAAGCATATCTGGATCCTTTAGAAGTCAGTTTAATCTGACATAATTGAACTTACTTCAAACAAAAGTTGTAATCATCCCTCTTAAAAAAATATCTTCCTGAGCTATAATTTGGATATGTTAAACTGTGTTTCCCACTAAGCCATTTTGAAACCATGTTGATAGTTCCAACAATCCTATATCTTTGTTTTGTAACCTCCCAGTGCTTGATGGACGCCACCTTATAAAGGCACAGAGAGATGAGAACCAACACTGTAGCGTAGAATGTCTTGGGCAGAGCATTCTTATCTAATATAGTCTAATCTCTGTAGCTATATCACCTCATGGCTGTTGATGGAAAACAGATGCAATTGCCAAATGACCATATTCTGAATTATGATCAGAATCCCAGTAAACCTACTGAACGAACAACTGCACATTCAAATTAAAACATTTTAAACCAGTTTGCAAATGAGCATCAAATAAATCCTTTATTAAATGAACTAGGAAAAATTAGTAATCTCTTTCTTTATGGACTTTTAACTTGGAACAAGATGCTCACTTCACATCTGACTGCTTTTCAAGAACAATGTTGAATATTAAAGCTTTTTAGAAAGCTCCTGAAATAATTAATACTTCAGCTGGGCCAGGGAAGCCCACTTTGAAAAAAAATAGTTATCTTATGAAGCTAGCTAGATATAAAACTATGCTTAAACAGATTACAGTGGATGTTTTTAACTACAATATTAAGCCTAGATCCAGGTGGAACTATACACAACTATCTGAAGGAGGCTTGGTCCATCCTTCTAGGTTAATTCTAGCAAGTCCCCTAAATATAAATCCATATCATGAATCCAGGTTCAAAAAATGCAACAACATACACCACTCTATTGCCTATCTACTAATTTGGCAGAATTCCATAATTCTATAAACCCAGCAGTTTTCATATATAACTAGATCACAGTAGAGTATTTGGGGCAACAAATACTTCTAAAAATGTATCGTAAAAATGTATTATAATAGCTATAAAGTCAAGTTAGGAATGATACTTTCCAAGATACTGATACTCAATGAAATGATTTTGCAGTTCCATTTAACAACACACTTACCTTCCACAGGCAATTTGTGTGACAATGTTCCCCATAAGTTCAAAAACTTTTCTGGGGTTTATCTCATGCGCAGCAGAGTTATGACCTAATTGCCCATAGCCTCCAGCTCCAAAAGTAAACACTCCACCTTCCTAAAAGATATTTCAAATTGGAATGTAGTCGGTCAATGTCTTCACTATGTTTTACATATACAAATACCTGCCCAATATGTATAAAGGAACAATAAAAATTGCCTAAATGGATTATAATCATAAATATATATCTCAGATTCTAAACAATTGAGGCATATAATATAAATTAAAAAGAAATAAAATGATTGCATCGCTTTAAACTTTAAAGATTCTGACTAGTTTGCAAATCAAACAGCTCTGATCAAGTATAAATCAAAGGTGTAAAATTAGCACCTGCAAAAGTGCAGTTTAAGCAGAGTTCCTCACTATCAATTCCCAACCTAGAGATTGGAATGTCCCTAGGCAGTCCTTGCTTAATGACTCTAATTGGGATAGGCAACTCCATCACTAAGCAGTCATCAAGTAGGAAATCATGTGATCAAGGCTGTGGTTCAAAGAGATAACACTACTGTATTCATTTTCACGCCTTCTGCATTTGTTTGCCTCATAATTCCACCCTTTGGAATTCTGAAGTGCCTGCTTGCTTTCTTGTACACATCAAAAGCAATGCAGCCCCCTGTGCAGAGTGGAGGGACTGAGATGAGGAGCTCAAGAGGGCACTATAAGTTGTTTGCATAGGACACCTGTGGTTCCCAACCTGCTGCTGGTGCAATCACATTGCTTTCAATGTGCAAAAGAGTTAATTGCTTGCTCTCTTGCAAACCCGTCTCCAATCTTTCTGTTTTGCAAGGGGGAGGGGGCAAAGCAAAGAAAAAAAAAAGGTCAGGTAAAGGACAACACATACTGATTGTAATGGTAATCACATGAGTGAGGGACACTGTAAAGATCATAAATGGGCTGTAAAGTTATTTTTCAGAATTGTCATAATTTTCAACAGTCACTGAACCAATGGTCAGTAAGTGAGGACTACCTGGATATCAAATTCTGCTTTGCAGCAAGTTAAACCAATAATAAACAGTGGAATTACTATCTAGATTTTAAATTGTACCTTCTGGAAATGTATGTACATTGCCCACGTTGGTGAGTTTATTACATGGTTCAAAAAGAGAATACAACTTTACGAATTGTAAGAATTTTTTTACGTATATGAACTGACCCTATGATCAGGGGTGAAATGTGGAAAGAGGAGAGAAAAAAGGGGTGCCCATGACTCAATCCTCTGCCCTGGCTATAGAATTAGAAAATGCAGAACTCTGGTGGCACAAGGCCCTAAGCACAGAGAACCAACAATAGGCTTAATAGATTTCACAGGCAGACATGGTATTTCTGGCTACATTATTGATGGGATAAGACCATCAAGATCTAATTGATGCAGCCCAATTAGATGGGATAAGACCATCAAGAACTATTAAGTCTTTCACTCGCATCCCAATTCAAAATCTAAAACCAAAGAGAAGACTGAACACACCTTTGTAAGAGCTGCAGTATGATCTTCTCCACAGGAGATATAAACAATTTTTTGGGATCTTAGTGACTTCAGGAGATTGGGGACGTATCTATCTAAAAATTGTAACAATTTGGTAAGTTATAAATTGTGGCAAGTTACACACATACAAAAATACAGAAGTGATCTCATTTGACAAGACTACTGCCTGCAGTAGGAACTTTGACGCAACTTAAACGTTCATAATTTCATGGAACGTATTGCATCAAGCATCAGTGCAGGTCATCGGAAGCAACATTTCAGAATGATATTTAACACAATTCATCCATTGTTTTGAAAGTGCTCTTGTTCTAACAACTAAGGAATGCAGAGCATTCCCCAGTCATGAACTGTAGTTTAATAAGAGCCACAACCAATTTCAGCAAGGTTTTGTAATTCAAAGAGCTCGGGCCTTTAACACAAACGATTTGAGCACTGAGCAAAACAAAACCATTTTTATCATAAAAGTTCGTTTTAAAATTTGCAATTTATATCTTACCATTTTCATCATTAAGACCAAGTTGTCCAAATTTGTTTCGGCCCCATCCAAAGACTGCTCCAGAAAGAGTAAGTACAAAGCTATGGGCACCGCCTGCTGCTATTTGGGCAAAAGGGATCCCTAATAAAGATTTGATTATTTGTGGAGATGCTTGTTTTTTATATTCATAACCTAATCCTAATTGTCCATACTTATTCTGACCCCAGGAAAAAACTTCACTTCCTGTTGAAAAGAAACAAAAACAAACAGTAGTTAAAAATCACTGTAAGAATCAAATTAAAGAATCAGATTATTTCTTTCAAGTGCAAAATTCAAGCAAAACAGAGAGGATTCAGGAGAAAGAGAAGCTCATTCAAAATTATATAAAAGAAGAATACTGAAATGAAAACAGATTGGGCAACAGATTATAGTTCAAAGAAGAATTTCTTTTTAAATCTGGAGTATGGCATATTGCATTGGCTTATAAAATATGGACTGGAGGTGATATTTTAGAAAAAGAGGCATGGAAGATAGTAAGTGCATTTGAGGAAAGTTGGATAAATATCCAGCAAAGTGTTTATTGCTCTTTAATATATTTATTTTCCTTAACAAGGTATTTCTCAACCCCAGCAACATTAAGCTGTATGGATTCCAACTCCCAGAATTCCCATTACAATTGCTGAGGTCGAGAAACCCTTCCCTAGCAAATGATCAGATCACGTTATACAAAAAAGCTTTTTTATGATCTTAGTGGCAGTGAAAGTATTTTGAAATTAAACAGACAGGTATAAATGCAGCTAAGAATACGGTTTACCTTTAGAAAGTGCAAGGGAATGGAAGTAGCCACAGGCCACTTGTACAATTTGAATGTCTGATAAGCTTTTAATGTTCCTTCGAGAAAATAAGAAAATATTAAATGAACAGCATTTTAAAAAAACACAGAAAAGTTAAAAATACTTTACGAAAATTGTAAAAGTATATATTAAATACCCCAAAAGAGCAACCGCAATATATAAATAAAAGGTATGACAAATTTCCAGTTCTGAAGCTACTGTAAGTTTAACGTTTCCTATTCCTACAATACCCCAATTTGAACAGCCAAAGTTTGTTCAGGCTAGAGAAGAAACTAGAGTATGAAAACACACCTCGACTTCATTTTATTTTAAATAATTAGAATTAAAATAAATCCCTCCTGAGTACATTTGGATAGAGCAGTGTTTCCCAAACTTGACAATTTTAAGGCATGTGGACTTCAACTCCCAGAATTCCACAGCCAGCATGAATTCTGGGAGTTGAAGTCCTCATGCCTTAAAATTGTCAAGTTTGGGAAACACTGGGATAGAGCATCAAATTTAAAATCTAGAGCAAAGGCCGATCTCTTTCTAAAATATAAAAGAACAAGGAGGGACTGGTTCTATATTTAGAACATACAGAAATCTAAATACAGGACTTACAAATTTACCACACCTGTACATATCAATATGGTTAAAACCAATTTAACACTGGTTAAATTTCAGATTAAAGCAGTACTCCTCTTATAGCTTTTCAAACTGTAGGTTAAGATCAAGTGTAAGCAAGTATTCACATTGTCCAAAACATTTTGATTCATGAAGTACAAATTAGTATATTTAAATCACACTGGCCTTCCTTCTTTTTGCAGCCCCGTTATATGCGCGCTGTGAACTGTTTTAAACCTGCTCCAAGTTTAACACACAGGACATAATGCAGCAATGCTGTTAAGCTAAGGTGACCTAAAGCTCTATTAAGTACTGGAAATTACCTATTATTCTAGACAGCAGTTACCAACTACAACAGAGAAATATATCTCTGTGCTCTGGATACTGGATGCCAGCCAGCATTTTTGCTCCTGCAGGTCCAAACAATAAATCCTCACACTATTTTTTAATTGGCCCTAATACTTAAAAGAAGAGGGAACTTCTGAGGAGAAAACATGATGGATACTAATGCAAATATATTATAATTGTTCTAAAAGCATGCAGCTCTTACGCCAGGGCTTCAAATTATTCAATTTTGCTATCAATTTTGCTATCAATAAGGGCGTATAAATAGTTTTAAACAAATGAATGTTAAGTTCCATAGCAATTCTACAACATTCAGAATGAAAATGCTGCATGTGTGTTAAAGCTATGTTGGAAAATACGCTATTTATATAGTTTAAGGATGGCAGCTTAATAAATCAAAATAAATTTCCAAATATTTTACAAAATCATTAAAACCTCAGAAATATCCACTTGCTTTTTTTGCAACTGCTAAAATGAAACTGATTTCACAATATTGTTTCATTCTCATGCTTAACTCAAAAAAGTGCATCTACCAGTAACGAAAACAAGCCAGCTTTAGCAAAAGAACAGTATGTCTTGGATGTCACTTATAGAAACCTCCCAAAAGCCATGGCTAAATCTGAATGTGACCAAGGAGGGAAGTCTTTAAATAAACAAGGTATTATCAGCCTTTCATTTAATTTTAATTCAATCAAATCTACACTGCATTTTGGTCCAGGTCCACGAAGAAGAAATAAACTATCATGCTACTTAACGTACATTAAATTCCCAATTAGAATCTCATAAAGAATGTCAGTATTATAAATACTGTATTTACTTATTACAAAAAAAAATGCAGGTCATGTACTCTTGAGTACACAGCTAAGGAAATACTGAAAAGGAAAAGCTCAGAAAGCTCTAGTACAGTGGTTCTCAACCTGTGGGTTGGGACCCCATTTGGGGTCGAATGACCATTTCACGGGGGTCTCCAAACAAGGCTGTCCGCCATTTTTCCCCCCTTTTCTTTGGCCACGCCCCTGGCACCCGGTGATGTATAAGTGGTTGGGGGTCACCACAACATGGGGAACTGTATTATGGGGTCGCGGCATTAGAAAGTTTGAGAACCACTGCTCTAGTAGTTGCTCCAGCACAGTACAGCAGCTTTCAAGAGTATATTGATACAAATTATTTTATAGAAAACTGAATATATAAACTGAATACTCAACTCCGTTTCTTAACCGAGCGAGTCAGCATTCTCTGAAGACACTTCTGTGGTCATGTGGCCAGCATGACTATACACCGAGGCACATGGAACGCTGTTACCTTCCCACCAAAGTGGCACCTATTTATCTACTCATCTACTCATGCTTTTGAACTGCTAGGAGGGCAGAAGCTGGGGCAAATAACAAGAGCTCACCCCCGTCGCAGGGATTAACAGCTTTCCAGCTGACAAACTCAGTGTCTTTAACTACTGGCCCATCGTGCCCCAAATGTACACAGACAAAACAATTAAAGTAATCCAAAAGTAAGCATTTTCCTAAGCAATTCTTGAAACATTATTTGATTATTTTGCCTTACCTGGGGACTCTGGTATATTCCTCAGTGCCAGATAAGCCCAGCTGCCCATCCACAGCGAAACCCCAGGCATAGACTTGACCCTTGTCATTTAATGCTAACGTGTGGGCTTCTCCACAAGAAACAGTGACAATGTTTTGAGCATCCAAGGCACCAACTTGCTCTGTATTTATAAATTAAAAAGTGGAAATAGCAAAAAGAGGTATCTTTACTAACAAATCAAGTCAATTTTATACTACTTCTGGCCTAAGATACGTCACAGTCTGGGAACCCCAAGTCTATTTATTGATAATTGCACCCAGCAAGGTCTGAATTTTTATCCCCAAGGGACAAGTTTCAGAACCCTAAATATTTTCACTCATGCTAGAAACAGCAGTTCGGATTAATTAGGAGAGGACTGAAGCCATTACTAATTAAAAGATATCCTAAACACTGATGTCCTGTTTTAATAAACAAGCATGACATGCACAAAGGTATTAAGGGATTTACTGAAAGTCCAAGCCCCTAATATGAATCCACTTGGACCCACTTGCAAAATCTTAGCAAGTCCTAAGAAGGCCAACATTGTTCCACCAAGGTACAAGGCTACCAAATCCAAGGGCAAATGCAAATGTAAAGTCCCTAGAGTCCACAGTTCAAGTCCAGTCTGAAGTCCAAGGCAAAGGTCCAAAACCAACAAACTGATCAAGTCCAAACACACAGTCAATCATAACACAATCCAGAGCTGAGAAAATCAAAGAGCATGAGGGCGAAGCACGCACACAGCAAGAAATGGGCAGTTGTTTCCAACAACCCCCAACTCCACTCATCTAATTAAATAGGCACTTGCCTGTGTAGCTCATCAGGAGAGGTGAGGCTATCACCTCTCCAGTAGCCTTGCCGACCTCCATTGTGGCTTCTTCTCTCAGCCCTGTGCATCTGCAAATCAGGTGGTGGAGGCAAATCCTCCTCATCCCCTCTGGCCAGCTGCAGCTGCGCCTCTCCTTTTCCTTCTTCAGAAGGCCGTTCCTCCGGTTGCCCCTCCAGCAACCTCTCTGCTGTGCCTGGCCTCTCCATTCCTCAGCAACTTCCTGACACTCCTCCGCTCCCCCCTCCAGAGTCCCCAGAGCCAGCTCTTCCTCATTGTCTGAGCTGGCATTCAGGGAAGCCATCACATCAAACTATATCTGGAAGTGACTGTAAGCTCCTGCCTCAGCTATTCCTCCCAAGAAAGCAGAACTCTTGAAACAGGCATTGTTTCAAAAGGAACTTTTATTGAGAGTTAGTGATAGCAGAAGAGCAAAGCAAGATCTAACGTTTTTCCCGGGCAAAATGTTACATTAAAGCATCCCTTTCAAAACCCCTCCCCTTTGGCCAGATGTCCAGTTTGATTTCATCCAATCCTCAGGTGCGAAGTCGTTATGGGAACCGAGGTGATAAGCACAGATCCCAGGCGCTGTTCTCAGGGTGTCGGTTCCTTACAGCCTCCTCCCATCAGAGTGGAGATAAGACAGATGGCCCAGGGCACCGTTCCTCTCCCGTTCACACACTGCGGCATCAAAGAGGTGAGGACAAAGTGGAGGAAACACTGACTGACCTCCCCCTCCCAATGGCATGGCCTAACAGCCTCCCCCCTCCCAGCAAAATGGCAGAACCCGAAAGAAAAAAGGAATAGAAAGGTTGAGGGTGTGACAGTGATTTTCATACAGTCGAAAGCCAAAGTCCAAGTTGTTTCTAGAGACTATTTTCTGAATTTCTGCATTAAAACCTTGGACAGCAATAGCTAACATAATCACAAAACATAATATTGAATATTACACTTGCACACACAGGCAAGTAGTCCTCGACTTAATGACCACAATTGGGACTGGGATGTCAGTGTTGAGTGAAATGGTAATTAAGCAAGACACTCATGTAACTGCTTTGCCCAATGAGTGCAATTCCAGCACTCCTGGTTGCATCATTAAGCAATCTCCCTGCATGTTAAGCAGATGGAATCCCAGGTAAGCACAAGATGCCTTAGGGAGGGGGAGGCCAGGGGAGGGTCCATGGGGAGTGCAAACCTTCATTAGGCTGCAGGAACAGAATTCAAATCCTGAAGATTTTAGTTCCATTCCTATAGTCCACAGGTCGGCAACCTGCGGCTCCGGAGCCGCATGCGGCTCTTTGAGCCTTCCCCTGTGGCTCCCAGCCTCCTCTGCCTTTGCAGAGAGAGACAGAGACAGAGAGAGGCAATTGCGCTTCCCTGCCTCTCTCTCTCTGTGTGTGTGTGTGTGTGTGTTTGTGTTTGTATTTTTTTTTTTGTGTGTGTGTGTGTGTGTGTGTGTGTGTGTGTGTGTAAAAGAGAGTGCACTCACAGTGTTCTCCGAGGAGCTGAAAAGCTTACTGGGCGGAGCTCCTCCCTTTGCTGCGTCTCTGCAGGAAGCAGGAAGGGCAGGAGAGAGCTAGCTAGCCCAGCTAGGCTGACTCAGGAATTCTGGGAGTTGAAGTCCATGAGTCATAAAAGAGACGAGGTTGCCTACCCCTGAGCTTCTTGGAGAACAGCTTGAAGCTTGCCAGGTGAGCAGCAGATAGGAGAGGGGGGAGGAGAAAGAGAGAGAGAGAAAGAGAGGGGGGGAGGGAGGGAGGGAGGGAGGGAGGGAGAGAGAGAGAAAGAGAGTGGGGGAAGAGGAGTGGAAGACCAAGGGCAGATAGGGAGGGAGGGAGGGAGGGAGAGAGAGAGAGACAGAGAGAGACCCTTTTGATATCTAAAATGAAGATAACACTGCATATATCCTTTTTACCTGTGTATGTGTATGTATATTACACACACACACACACACACACACACACACACACACACACCCCTATAATAAAGGTAAAAAAGGATATATGCAGTGTTATCTTCATTTTAGATATCAAAAGGGTTTTGCGGCTCCCCGTGTTTTGTTTTTGGTGGGAAATGGGTCCAAGTGGCTCTTTAAGTGTTTTGGGTTGCCTACCCCTGCTATAGTCCAACAAAAGATTTCCTCTCCCATCCCTCCATCCACAGGGGAAAAATCCTTCACTGTGGTCTGCAGGAACAGTGTTAAAATCCTGAAGACTTTAGCTCTGGTCCTACAGCCCGATGAAGGATTTCCACTCCCATCCATCTATTTAGGGGGGGGGGGCGGGGGAATCCTTCATTGCATTGCAAGACTAGAACTAAAATATCCAGGAAATCCCAGCAGGCAGCCCTTTCAGCCAGTGCTGCTAAGAAAAGAGAGAGTCCTTGCGGGACTTTTTGCCAGCTGCTCTACTGGGGAAACTGACAAGGAGACTGCAAATGGTAAGGGTGCTTGGTAACCAGCCACATAACCATGGAGGTGGGGGGAACAGCACATCAACAGCTGAAAGTGCTTCACAGACTGTAAAGCACCCTTTCTGAGGCCATTGTAACTGGTTAAACGACCAGTTGTAAGTTAAAGACTACCTGTAATACACATCAGGATTTAAGAATGAAAACTATACCTACTTACCCTCCCCAGAATGCAAAACTGAATAGAAGATTCATCCTTCCAAAATTTCCCAAGCTATAATAAAGCATTTTGTCATTTCTATCATTTTCTTCAAATATTATCACTCAAGAGACTAAGATATAAAAGTTAACAAAACCTCAGTTGTCTTGTCTTCTTAAGGATCCGTTAGTGATTCAGATTAACCAAAACCTTTCTAGAACTACTAATGTGCCATACTTCCCAAGAAAATAATTTTGTAGAAACTGGTAGGTTACTTTTATAGAGTAAACCAATGCAAAATTTATTTTATCCCTGCCAATGGCATGCTGGATCTCCCAAACCATCTAGGTGCTTTTCAACTTAAATTTACTGAATTTAATTCAAGTATAATAAACAAAAAATAGGGTTTTTTTCTTTCTGTTAAAACATATGTGGCTACTGTACTGGGAAGCACATATACAAATAGAAAGTCACATAGAGAGGGATCTTTCACATCAAGTATTTCATAAAAGGAAACTCTATCAACCCCATCCACCTTAAGAGTATTTTATATATATATACAAAATGATGTCCAGGATAAAAGATACCATCATGAGAAATTTAAACAAAAAGATTAGATTTCACAAATGTAATATTTTCAAAATCTTAACATCCCTACATAATCATTTGTTTAAAAAAATGTGGTAAAGCTCTTTAAATATGAATTAGTTTGATATTATACATTAATTAGAAGCCTTCAAGTGTACAAATCTGGTACCAAAATTTAGGATCAAAACCGTGCAGGATCCAACCAACATTATTTTTTAATCTTACCTGGTCGTTTTCTAGATTTTTCATGGCCTAACTGTCCTAAATCATTACATCCACAGGTATACACAGTCCCATCATCCAATACAAACACGGTATGCCTCAGTCCACAGCCGACATCTTGAACTTTTTTGTTTACAAAGAAACTGCATCTTCTGGGTTCCAGGACAATCTCTTCATCAATACCGCCCAATCCAAGTTGTCCAAAAGATGCATTTCCCCAACATAACATGTTGCAAGTCCTTTCAATATTCTGCCAACTTCAATCTGCAAAAGCGTTCCACCAGCATTACTGTCACAGAAGAAAAGGTTAGTCAATAAGGTTAGCATTTTTATCAAGGTACACTACTACCACTTCTGAAAAACCTGGCCAAGAAAACTACAGGGACTTGTTCCAGACAGTGGACAGGAGTTAATAACGACCTGAAGGAGCCCCCCCAAAAAAAAAGTATTTAACTATTTCAAATAATTGTGTGATTTGGAAATTTTTGCTCTCATAACTATCAGAAGTGTGAGATTGCTATTTTATTGCTAGAGTAAATTGGGGGTTTTTTAGAGGATATGTCAGGGATCACACTTAGAAAACTTAGGCAGGATCAAACCAAGGATAATTTGTTTAATTGCATTTTACTTTTCACAAACTGAATAAGTTTAGTGTGACAGCTCCTCACATATATAATGATTTCTTTTTGTGTCGCATTAAAAAGTAAAAACAACTTCTAGAAGATCCAAAGACTACAACAAGTCCTTTCAAAGAGATGAAGTAGCCTCCAGAGTACACTGTCATAAAGCAGGGGTCTTCAAACTTGGCCCTTTTAAGACTTGTGGATTTCAACTCCCAGAATTCCTCAGCCAGGCACGCTGGCTGAGGAATTCTGGGAGTTGAAGTCCACAAGTCATAAAAGGGCCAAGTTTGAAGACCCCTGTCATAAAGGGTTATTTCTGCTTCCAAATAATTGCTACTTAGAAGTGATGCAATATTATTCTAAAGGCCTTTTTCAAAGCTATTTTCAAAAATATTATGCATGCATTAAATATCATTCTAGAACAATATAGCATCAGTTGTTCTGTTTCAACCCCCCCCGCCCGAGAATTCAAACATACTATAGGAAACCACAAACAGAACACTAATTAAGATATTTAACAGTGAGCCAAACGAATTTAATAACTCACAAAGTTAGATTCTACAACTTCTAAGTATATATATTAACTATTAAAATACCTAAGCAAACTCTGGGAACACAAAAAGAATGTAACACAAGAATATAGGGCAGTCATCACGAATTAAAAGTTAAAGCAGAGTTTGAATAATGCTTTCCAAGGATTTTTCAAATGATGCAATCCAATTTGGGGAAACTGGTGTTAAAGCTCTGAAAATAATTGCGTAGGGAAATGCCTACACTGGAAGACTGGCCCGAATAGAAAATAATTGCGTAGGGAAATGCCTACACTGGAAGACTGGCCCGAATAGCCAAATGTTTGCCGTTATTAACTTTTAAAGCCATAAACAGCTTAGGCTTGATTATAAGAGGGATCACCTCTGCCATAATGAAGCTGCTTGGGGACTAATCTCTACGCAAAGCCTTCTAAAGTTCCTCTACTTGAAAGCTTATTTATGGTCAAAGCATGGTCCAAGACAGCCTTTTCCTGCATTGTTCCCAGTCTGGGAAATGTACTTTCTCAGAAGCTATGCTTGACATTCAGTCTTCTTTAGGAACAGATGATCTATAAATGGCAATTGTTTATGATTTAACCTATATTTATGCATGTGTATGGGACAGCACACCACACCTTCACATGCATTGTTTTAACTACAAGTGGCCTTGAATGTTCTTTCAGACAGCAAGGAAAAATACAAATCAAATACATTTATAATATTAAACACCCATAAAAGCTTTTTTTCTCTAGCCTATTAATTATACACACAACTGAAGTCCACCTAATTGCTAATCAGTATTTGGGAAATACAGTGCAACTTTTGAAGTGTTACGGGCAGAGTAGGATAGGTATGCTATGGACTAGTTTTCCTAAATTTAAATCTGCTTATAAAAGAAATTATGTTACAGTGATTGTTTAGACCAGTGTTTCTCAACCTTGACAATTTTAAGGCATGTGGACTTCAACTCCCAGAATTCCACAGCCAGCATTGCTGGCTGTGGAATTCTGGGAGTTGAAGTCCACATGCCTTAAAATTGTCAAGGTTGAGAAACACAGGTTTAGATACTGTCAAAATTAAAAATAAAGCCTGAATCAAAACAAGTTATAGCAAGTATAGTCTAACTGCAGTTCATCAGATATTCTCACCTAAAAATCTTCCAAGAGTTTCTCATCTCTCAAATGGATTATAATTCAAAGAACTCTGTAGATTTTTTTTTTTTTTTACATTTTACATCGGAAACGCTGCATATGGCATATGGCTCAGGCTAACAGAAAATGGACTAGAGTTAACAGTTTAAAATCAGAAATGGGTATGGGAACATGCCGGAAATAACAAGATATTTTGGAGACATGGAAATGTTATCCTATCCTACAATTTACACATATTTCGCCTATCTGAGCCAATTCCAAATATGACTTTCTGCTCAAAGGTAGAATCTTACATATTTATTCCTAACTAAACTTGATTCAAATATTGCTTCAGACTAAAACACAGAAAGTAAATATCCTACCACATTTAGGAGACATTTAAGATGATGTTGCCTTGAGGAGTGCATAGCAGTATTTATGCATTCATGTCAACAACTGCATGTACAATTTTAATCTGTTGCAAGAAAATAAACAGATACACATTAATGGAATCCAAATTTGTCCAGCCCTAAGTAAATAATCTACAAATTAACTTTTTGATTAACAGAGACTTTTAAAAAAGTTTTTCTCAATGAAATGAAATGATAAATTTAAGACTTCCATTTAATTAGCAAGAAATTTATTAGAAAAGATAAAATACTAAGTAATAAACAAAAAGCCCTATTCTGTACTGCAGTGGACAAAGTCCCTCCCTCCCTGTAATACTACTGTGCCACAGCTCTAGGAAAAATAATCAAATATAATTAAAAAAATCCATTTTGCAACTCATAGCATGTGTATTATTTTTAAGAACTCATCACTCTCAAACTACTTAGTAAGGACTAATTTTGCAATACGACGACTAGATACAGTGCAAAGTTCATTTAAGAAGCAATAGCAAACACATGTAAAAACAGGAAACGTGACAAGATAAATATAGTCCTGCTGAAAAATAATATATGGATTCTTGAAAGAGCAAAGTTTTGGGTAAATTGGGATTTACATAAAGTTATTTAAAATGCCACGTCATAATACCTATAAAAATTTATCCCTGTATTTTTAAATATCTTACACAAATTTTCTAAAAATTTCTATCAATATCACTGGTCCCATTCAGATTAAGAAAGGGTTATAATATAGCATAGCATAGAACAGGGGTCTTCAGACTTGGCCCTTTTACGACTTGTGGACTTCAACTCCCAGAATAAAAGGGCCAAGTTTGAAGACCCTTGGTGTAGAACATTATTTCTCAACCTTAGCAATTTTAAGATGTAAGGTCCCTGGCCCTTACTTAAATTTGAAATATCATTAAAAGTCTAATCAGACAACTCAAACAGAGGCTTCTTGAGGAAACAGTGCTTTAATTGATCAAATAAAGTAGCTGGGTGGCAAACAATCTGGAACACTGGCAGAGTTATGTCCAGAAGTGCCTTAGAACAGAGGTCTCTGTTTTGATTTGGCAGCCCAGAAAGGGAGGCAGGTACATGCATGTGTGCAAATGGGCCGCACATGAGCTCATGCAAACGGCCACATGCGAGTGCATATGCAAATGGGGCTGCAGGACGCTATGAGCAGCACTAGTGCCAGTGGGACGCTCGGGGGTGAGGCAATGCTAGTGCTGGCAGGATGCTCAGGGTGGCGCTAGCGCTGGTGGGGCGCTCGGAGCGGGGTGGCGCTAGCACCGGCGGGATGCTCAGGGTGGCACTAGGGTGAGCGGGGAGGTGAGTGCACTGGCCATCCCTTCACGTGGCCTGGTGGCCAAGCGGCCGCAGCCTGGTAGTGGGCCGTGGCCCAGTTTGGGGACCCCTGCCTCAGAAAGTAAGTAGCATTGCTTTATAACCTTATTAGCCAATGAAAATCAGACAACAGAACCATCACAACATAAGGAAGACATCAATCATTCCTGTACACTCCCTTATTCCCTCCTTCAGTACATCCCATCCACATATGTTTCCCACACTTGCATAAAAGTTGTCCTGACAGCAAGATAACAATAAGATAACAATAGTTAGGCTAAACAATTTTTTTTTTGTTCCAGTTACAGAACCCTTCAAAGATATGTTGATATTAACTCCCAGGATTCTGGTAACTGAAGGCAACACATCTTAAAATTGCTAAAGTTGAGAAACACTGGTGTAGAAAATAGTCACTTTAAAAAAAAAATTGTATCTATGTACCAGAAAGAATATGCTCTCTCCTAAAAAGTTTTGAACAGTTAAAACTTTGTTAGGATATGCAGTATAAAATATATATCCAAGAATAAGTCCTGCTGAAAACAAAGGCCCTCACTGAATTAAACTCTATGAATGCACTATACATATTTGCCTTTGCCAAACATTTACAAAAATCTCTTAGCAACAATAATAGTAATAGGTAGAATAAATCTGATAACAGTTCTATTCCATTTCCAGGGATTACAGATTTATTTCATTCGTCCACCTAAGAATTCTGAAAAGATCTTCTGCATAAACCTAGAGCTTTCCAGAAGCATACAGTGGTATGAATCATTATTGCAACATGTATAACATAACTACTTTACTCAAGATGAACAGGAATATTGTAATCTCCATCATTATGTAAGATCAAAATTAAAATGAAAACATCTTGATTCTATCACCTTTTAAAAATATATGTATTGATGTTTTAAGTTTATTATTACACAACAATTTTACATGTTTTCTTTTTCTTTTTTAAAGCATCAATATATTCTTGGTAAGTGGAGGCAATTTGGGAAGCAAAAGTGTACCTAAGAGAGTCAACAAATAACTGCCAGCTTTGGGATAAAACCAGCAAAGAGGCAGATTCTGTCTACTTTAAAAGTCATAATGTTCTTTATTTTGAAATTACTGCTCCTTGTTCCTTGTCTACCTCAAACAACCTTCAGCTTCTGTTCAACATTCCCAAGTCTTACTCTGCATATTTCATCAATTAACACTGTCCTTACATGAGTAATAGTTCTCATTACTCATGTAAATGTGTCATTGTGCTATTTAACTGATCATCCATATAAATATGGGTGATATATATTAGTGTTCTTGACACAGAAAAATAGTATCTACTGAAGAAAATAGATCTCTGGGTGTGCTGATATGATTATTAGGAGCAACTATAAACTTAATGGTAGCAGCTTTGGGTTTCATTGCCACAAAATCAGAAAAATATTATAGTGAGCATTTTCTGACTATGGAGTCAACATGTATATGTTTAAATGTTCCTAACACTGGCACATATCTAAAAGAGCTATTCTCAACATTAACTTTTCTAAGGACTTCTGCATTTTCTTTTGATTTATATACACTCTGTAATTAAGCAGTGAATAGTAATACAAAAAAAGTCAAGACCTAAAGCATACTTGATCTTCCTGTCTGAATTTACAGATCCTAACCTTATTATACCAAACTCATTTCAGTAGCCACTCTGAACAATATATTAATATTTAATATATTAAACAGCTACGTAGAAAGAAAAATACTTTGATGGGATATTTCTATGATTTCAATTATTTCATATTAATGGAAAGCTCTGTCATAAAAAGAGCATTAGATAAGTGAGGTCTGAGATTATACAACTATATGCACTTTTGTGCAAGTAAGTTTTCAAGCATAATAGGACTTGGAAATGGGGATTATTTGAGTAATATGATATACAAAACAGTTCTGTATACTTTGAAGAATGCCAGTGCAAGAAGAAATATTAGACAGCACGTTTCATATCTTTCACAACAACACAGGTCCCCAGCAAACGTTTCAGGTGTTAATGAAATAAATGCAAGAGAACAAGCATAGATGGAACTGCAATCCAATCCCTTATTTAAAAGCAAGCTTTGCTGAAAGCAATGTGACCTACTTCTGAATAAAAAAAAAAAAGTTGGGTTACATGATTTATCAAACAACAGGTTTTTATATCTTTATGGGATACTGGCCCCTCAATGATACTTTACACTTTTTCTTCAGCTTTCACTCCCCCCCCCAAAAAAAAAACAACCCCCCAACCCTCTGCAGCCATTTTACTTGTGGAAGGAAAACAAAAAGCAGGCAGGAATTTGCCCATAAACAAGTCAAGGCTGCCTCTTGGGCCAATTGGGAGGGAGACGATCACAAGCAGGGCAGTTTTCAATGAAAGAAAAGGCCCGTCCGTTCAAATCCCTCGTTTTTCCCAGCAGCCAAACAGAAGCCTGTGGGAAAAACATGTCCATGAGAAGATAAACGAGACGAGCATACGCCTTCTCCAGCGACTGGAGGCTGCTAGTTTTCAATTTGGGGTACGGCTAGGAGCAACCCACAGCCTTCTCCTCTTAATTTTAATTGGAGGGAGGGGGGAGCCAGGTTTTAACCTTTCCTGGCTCCCCTCTTCGCCCACCCTCCTGCCCTCTCTGCGGTCTGCGGGTCCAACGGGGCCTGCAAAATCTTAGGAAGGGGGCTTCTTTCCTTCCCCTCTTAAATAAAAGGGGGAAACGAGTCGAGCTGCCTGAAGTCCCGGCTCGGCCTGCGCTCTCCCCAGAAGGCCTACCCGCGGGGTGGAAGGAGGGGAGCAGCCGGCGATGAGCTCTCCCCGGATTGCCACTCCGAGCCCCCAGAAGGAGGAGAGACGCCCCGCCGAACCGTCCTCCCAAACCGCCTCTCCGGCCAGTCCCGGCTCCACCCGCGCCTTCCCTAGCGGCCTCCTCGCCTCTCCGCGCCGGGAAGCACCCCGCCCGGGCTGGACTCACCGCGGCCGCTACGCGTCCCTCCCTTTCTCGGGAGTGACCGCGGCGAGGCTGCCTTCCGGCCGGGCTTACAAATGCGGCAGAACGGGCGGGAAACAGGCCCAGAAGCGCCGACACGGCGCGCGTAACGCGCAAGCGCCCTTCCCATTCGCGGAGGGCCCCGATAGGACGGGAGGCGCTGCACGGGGCAGGCCGCCCTTCCTAGCTCGCCCGAGGGAGAGGCGGTGGAGGGCGGCGTGGGGCGCTGTCTCTTCCCGCTTCTGCCGGGCAATCCTGGCCGGACCTGTTGAACTGAGGACCGGGGTAGCCCCTGCGGGCCTGGCTCTGCTGGCTGAGGAATTTTGGGAGTTGAAGTCCACAAGTCATAAAAAGGCCAAGTTTGAAGACCCCTGATCTAAACTGTGTGGATTTTAACTCCCAGAATTCTCCAGCCAGCCAATTTAAGGTGACCAAGTTTGAGAAAGGCTGCATTTTGTAAGCTACAGGCATGATTTTGAAGAAATGTTCCCTTCCAATGATCAACCTACCTATTATAATCCTACTCCTGTGTATTGGATATGGAGGCTCACTGGAGGGCATCATAATAGTCAGAACAACTTTGATTTTCACTGAAGTATGATCATAGTCTTCAAATCCCTTAAACTGGGTGGGAATCATTTGGACCAGCATAAAGTATCCTAAAATCTCCTTTTAAGTGTGCATCAGGGAAAGGTGTTTGGGTAACATTCAATGCACTTAATACCTTTTGCCTAATGAGTTCCTTTCCCTGGCTGAATACAGGCTAACGAGAAATCTGCTTACACCCTTGGTGCAGGTCTTGGTGTATTCGGGTATTTTCCCATGTAAGATTGAGAGTATCTTGGCGATGTTTTGCCATCGAAATAGAAAAACACCCCCACAACATGAATAAACATGACGATACCTCCCGCCTACCAGACATCTGGAAACTAGCCCTAATCAACAAATAAGTCCTAGCCACGAAAACTGAACACTGGTCCAGTGTTCTGTGGTCCAGAACACTGGACCACAGAACACACCATTCACCCTCACCAAACCCATCCCTCAGAGGAAATGCAACCACCATCCAGAAGCCAAACGATGATGATATCACCAGCTGCTGCATCTCCCTCCAACCCCCACACAAAGCAAATGGACACACGCTATGAACATAGAGCTAGACCACAAACCTGGAGCCAAACCAAAGTCTGGTATGTTACTTCACAGCCTTCAGCCCTGGACATCACATCACAGAATTCAGGAGGCTATAACGCCAAAACTCAGGATGTTACAACACAGCCAACCACCCAGGATGGTCAACACAGAACTCAGGATATCACTACACTAGATCTTAGGATGTCATCACACAACCCATTACCCAGGTCATTACAATACAAAAGACTAATGGGCACTTAGCCAGCACCTCAACTACTCAGGATGTTATGAAACAGCCAAACAATCCAACAAACAATGGCTCCTACACAGCCAACCAATCTACCTACAACAACTAAGCCAGCACTCCACACACCCCCACCAGTATATATAGGGAGATGGTAGCTCTGATCACACTTTGCTCGCACAAGCATGAAGCTGAAGATGATGAGTGGGACCTCGTCGAAACGTTGCCAAGATACTCTCAATTTTACACGGGAAAAGACCCAAATACACCAAGATCTGCATACACACACACACACGTATATAATATATATATATATATATATACATACACACACACACACACACACACAAATATAGAGACAGAGCACAGGCATGGTTTATACAGGTAGTTCTCGACTTACGACCACAATGGAGCCCAACATTTATGTTGCTAAGCAAGACAGTTGATAAGTGAGTTTTGCCCCATTTCATGACCTTTCTTGCCACAGTCATTAAATGAATTGCAGTAGTTATTAAGTTAGTAACATGGTTGTTAAGTGAATCTGGCTTCCCTATTCAATTTGATTATCACAAAAGGTGATCACAAGACCCCGGGACACTGCCATAAATTGACCCATTGTCAAGCATCCAACTTTTGATCAGGTGATCACAGGGATGCTACAAATGTGAAAAACAGAGCTAAGTTACTTTTTTCAGTCCCGTTGTAACTGCTGAAGAGCCATTAAACAAATGGTTGCAAGTTGACTTCCTGTAATGCATAAAAACCATAGCAGGAACATCTGGGGGGTACGGTCAAATGGGAGAATATGGTGGTCACAAAGGTGTGGCTAATCCCACTGTCATGAACCCCATCTTGAATGTTTGACCATACTGTGAGGACACCCCTGAAGGAGGATCAAATGATGGTCATCGAGTTATGAAAGTAAGGCCTTGAAGTCTCTAGTTATGAAACTGGGCCTTGAAGTCTCTATGAGGACAAAAGACGTCCCCTTATTTCCTCACCCATTTTCCTCTAGGGCAGGTACAAGTCCTATAGGCTTAGGCCAGGAGTAGGCAACCTTGGCTCTTTTATGACTCGTGGACTTCAACTCCCAGAATTCCTGAGCCAGCATAGCTGGCTCTGGAATTCTGGGAGTTGAAGTCCACGAGTCATAAAAGAGCCAAGGTTGCCTACCCCTGGCCTAGGTGTATTTCTATGAACTGTCAAGCACCGCCCAGTGGCCAAGCAAGGTGGGGCCCCTGGTCTGCTTCACTCTGGCAAACAACAGTGGCAATACCACTGATTTGGAAAGGACGCCTTATCTTTCCTGTGATGAAGTAACCTAAAATTAGCCTCCTTAGTAGTTTGTCAAGACTGCAGCTTGCCGAGAGGATTGCGAAGAGGCAGCGTGGAGGAAAGATCTGGGACAGGCACAGGCGCAAGCAGGTCCCGCCACTTCACGGTGAGCTCAGCTGGCTTCTGTTCAGATTTCCAGAAATTACCATGTAGGTGTAAGCTGCAGTGTGCTGCAGTGATCTGGCAAGGAGTAAAAGGGAAGCTCTTCTGGTGACAGCAGAAGCACAGGGGAAGGGTCTTTGGGGCTGGAAATCAGTAGGGAAGGCTGGGGAAAGGCATCACAGAAAAAAGGGGAGATGGAAGTCTCAGATTTGCTGTAATGGGTAGACAAGTGGTCCAAAGCTAACAGTGTTGTGCCCATGGTGGGCAAGAACACACGATACAAAAAGAAGGAAATAATTTCATCAAAAAACAAAGACGGAAAAATTAAGTTGGTTTAGGTAGCCAATCAATTAAGGCTACAATTAAGAATTTGACAGACCACTTAATTATTAATTGAGTATCCTCAACTAACCTCACAATTCTGTTCTTACTTTTAACCCTGTTTCCCTCAACCCGGTTCCCTTCGAATGAATTGGGCTGCAATATGAGTCAATTATTCCCAGGCAATGCTGTCATTGTTCGGAGATGATCCACATAGTAATTCTGCATATCTTGTGAGCACTGGGCTGGGAATCAAATTTTTTTTTCCCCCTGTGGTCTTTTAACAGCAGGGATAGAAAGATGAAACGGATCTTTGTTCTAAAGGCGCTGTTTTTATTTGATAGATTTAAATGTATGTCATGCTTGTTCCCTCTCCCCATAGGGTGCCCATGAAGAATTTGGGATAATTTGGAAAACTATTTGCATGTGCTCAGTTTCTTTAAAGACCAGCAATTGCTCAAATGTCGCTATTTGAACAAAGGCTCAGTTAGGTAAAACCTAGAACTTGTCCTTTCTTTTTTACAGATAATTCTTTTTTATATGTTTCCCCCCCCCCGTGCCATCTTCTCTACTGAAAATTTCTTGAGAGTCAAATGTAGGATGAGGGGACTGTTTCGATGACAGTGAAGATTGTAGAATAGTAGACCTTGGAAGTCTTGCAGTCCAACCCTCTGCTTAGGCAGGTGACCCTATACCATTCCGGACAAACGGCCATCCAGCAGATGGAAGTAGGTTAGGGAATCTCTGATAGAAGGAAAAAATACTTTTATATGGAGGTGGAGGGAAAAATCAGATGACTATTGGTTTATAAAATGGTGAGAGGATATGCGTAGGGCTACCATCCCTAATTTTACATCTCCAGGGTTAACAGACAACAATTCTCAACATCAGTGTGTTGTTGTAGGAGACAACAGTGTCAGGAAAACTAGAACAAGACAGCAGCTGAACAGCTGGATAATGAAGCAGAGTCTAGCCACCTAAATTATTTTTTTTAAGCGTTAAAGCTATAATGGAAGAAAGGACATCCTTTAACTCAGAGTCATCAACCAAAGTAATATATCACAAGTTCTTCCCAGGTACATAATATTATTTGAGTTCTGTATCATATTATTCTGAAGTTCATCGAGGAACCAGCATTTTCCTGCTTGGTTTATAAATGCTAATTTTATAGAAAATTGTATTTTTTCATCATGTGAATATAATTAATAGTCTAGGAAGCTCATTCATACATTTGAAGTAATGAAATTATAACCATTATCAAAATAAACAGAATTCACTTTTTGTATGCATTTTGTGTCTCCAAATCCAGTATGGAGTGTTAACTAATCCAACATCTTGTTTATCACTTGACTAACAGCGGAAAACCGGTGAGTGCTTATACATTTTTCTACCTCTTTGAAAGGAAGTAGCAGAATAGCAAGTGTCTGTTGAATGTGCAATAATACAAAATACCATATTTTTCAGGGGTTGTGTTAATGTTATCTGATTGGCCAAAATCACCCAGTGGGTTTTTGGGTGACTTAAGCCCAAGTCTAAGTACCACTTCTGAATCTTCAGCTGGCTTGTAATATAAAGGTAATCCACAGTGGCTCCTAGAGTTGCTTAGCAACCATTTGAAGTTATGACAGGCCCTGCTCAAAAAGTATTTACAACCTGGTTCCAAAATTCCAATGGTTGCCCCTCATGACCGCATTTTGGGTGCCTGTCAACCAGCCCTCATTTATGGCTGTTTGCAGTGTCCTGCAGTCACATGACCATGTTTTAGATGCTTTTGCTAAAAACTAGCATTTACTTCCAGGTTTTTTTTTGGGGGGGGGGGAAGTTCCATAGAG